TCCAAAAGCACTTAATGAAAAGGATAAGAAATCACAAATCAAAGTGCAAAGTGTGGCTGATGACTCTTCTTATTCGAATATCCAGAAATTCAATCAAATTCTTCGTCAATCTAAAGAGCCAAATAAATCTCCATTAAATTCAACTGAAATTGAAAAAATTGATGAAGTCTCAGTTATTGGTGAAAGTGATAAGAAAATTCATCAACAAAGGGAACTTCGTGATTCAACCTTAGCCGAGATTGCGGTTATTCGTCAATTCTCCCACAACAAAGAGGTCAGAAGCCCCTGAGATTGGTTGAAACAGCACGAGCTATCATTCTCGGCGCACCAATGAAACAATCAGTATTTCAACCAATTGAAACTTCCGCTGGTACCTCGTCAGCTCTAAATATGGCATTGCAAAGTCCTGTTACTGAATCAAATAAACCTCCTTTGAATCAGTTAAAGGCTATTCAATACGACCATCAACCTTCTGTGAAATCTTTGGAAATTGCCGGATCAGAATCAACTGCCGTTGAAAATAACGATGAATCTTATTTTCCACTAACACAGGTGAAAAGACCAATTGAATCTGAAGTGGATTGTCAAAGTGTTAAGAAAATGAGACATTTAGATGAAGATCTTATGTCAGATTCAGTGTCCGAATCTCATGAAGATGAAGCGAAGATCAGGATATACAACAAAGCTCCCAGCTTCTTGAAAGTTCTAAGCCAGAAGATGAGATTCAACTGATCAACAAATTTCAGAAAAAGCTCCAATCGATGTTTCAAAACTTCCACCAAGCGTTCGTAACTATATTCTTGATTTAGAAGAAAAATCTAGGGAAAAATGTTTGAGTTTGAATCACAAATCCTTTCAACAACATTTTCAAAATACCTTTCAATTTCATTGAAGTAAAGGTGACCTTTCAACTCTTGTTTTTGTCCTTAAAAATTGATTAGTTTCAAAATTACTTTCATATCATATAATCAAACTCCAATCTTTGAACAGTTAATTACTCTTTGAATTTTCATTTCAACCAATTTTGTGTAACCATTTTTTGTTTAATTTTCTACCTGTATTGAAATCAGTACAATCCAATTCAAATAAACATTTATTCATAGCAGCAAAGTGAAAGGTTAATCTAAATGGATACAAATTCTACAATTCAAAGGAAAAAGTCAGTAAAGAGAAAGTCGCATTCTGCTTTCGATGATCTTTCCTCTTTCTCTCAACCAACCACTTCTATGGAATCGGATTTTGTTTTCAATTCGTTAAAATCATCAACACAACCTTGTAACGTGAACGGTGAAAGTGTTTTTTCAGATAGAATGATATTCACAGTTTTTCTTCCATTGATATTAGACACAGAATTCAAACCAATAAACCAGCCCATACTCGTGAAAATCAATGAATCACGATTAAAAAATATTGGATTCAAAATTCCTTTCGATGGTTATCTTGATAAATTGAATAATTTTTTTAGTATTCAAATCAATAATAAATTCTTCTGCGCTCAATTGATTGCAACTGGAGGTGAGTTTTCCAATGAAATTTAAACAATGAAACAATTTTTCTTATTTTCAATTTATCTATTTCAAGGTTCTCAGAGTGAAGTGAAATCTGTCTGGATACGGAACACAAGTATGAATCTTGCTTGGAAAAACTTGAAAAAAGTGAAACGAATTAACGGTGAAGTACTGATCGACCATCAACCATTACAATCTCAATGAATCACCACCACAACAAGTTCTCAGTTCTGAAGCTATCGAAAAACTTTTCACGGATGAAAATCAAGAAAGGAGAAAGCCTGTTTTGATTTGAGTCCACCACAAACGACCACTAAATCTATGGGACAAGGAAAATCAAATGAAATAATTCCGACTAGAGAAACTACACCCAGAAATCATTGTTCCAGTGGCACATCCAACTATCATGCTGATTCAACTTTTTCAGACTCTACTAGTTTGCAGTTGTTATTACAAAACATGAAGATTGAAATTGATTCTCTCGAAAAGAAAAAATGATTCTTAATGAGAATGACACAACTGGTTCTATAATACTGTCGATAATATCGTCAATCAAATTGATTTCTGAGACTCTCCTTGAAAAAAATCGTTCTAAAGATGAGTCTTCTTTTTCTATTCCATCAGTTGATAAAACGTACAAAGTACAGGAAAAGGTAAAAAGGTTCAATTGGCGATTTGATTTTGATTTCATTGTTAATTATTTGAATTTTTCTTTTATTCGCAGAATCAAATATTTGTAGAAGGTTTGATTCAGTTCGATTTAGATTCGTATATAACTGCAACTAAACAATCAAAAGCAGGTGATCCAAGATCATTTGCTTATCAAATCATCCGATTATGTTTTCCAGAAAATTATTATCGTCGTGTTACATTGGGAAAACAAAATCTTGATAAAAATCTTGAAATGATGTTGAGACAAAAAGATGACGAGAGTCTGAAGTTTCCACTTAGCTTAATATGGGGTTTCAAAGATCCTTATTCAGAAAGAATGACTGGTGAATTTGATTATCGACTTGGTCAAGAAAGATTAAGAGCTTTCATAAGTAAGTGATAGGCTTTCAAGGAAAGTTGAAATCTATTCAATTTCATTAATCTAATTTTTCATTAATTTTAAAGATCACCTTTTCAGAAAAGCCGATATTCATCTATTCACAAAAGCCTTAGAGGCTAAAGTTCGGCATCGCATCGTTAAGGAACTCTGTGCGAGAAACAGAGTCTTTGGAAAACCAAGTCCTGATTCTGAGAAAACAGTTAAGGAATCTAGAAATCTTAGTGGCTGGGATTCTGATTGCTTTGATAAAGATTCTGATAGAGAGCAAGATGATGATGATTCAAATGATTTCTACTAATAAATACTTGTTTTGATTCTATTTACATTAAATTTTCTATTTTGATTCAACCAATAATTTCCTAACTTTCTTATATCTCGGAATCTGTATGAAGATGTTTTCTAGAATTCTAACGCTTTTTTCACAAAATTAATATTGAGAAATCACATGGATTCACAATGCTAGTTTCATCAATCGGAATCAACAGCAAAATTCAAGCAATTAAGATTCATGGTCGCGATTATGAATCCACGCTACAATTTTTGATTCTGAGAACTAGAGAGTAATCAATTTTCAATATTTACGTTCAATTAGGAATCTCCATAATTTTGAATCTTGAGTAGATGCAAAAGAAGATTCTTTGATGTTGAATCTTGTGTTTTTTGAGTCTTTTATTATTCAAAAAAGAGTCAATTTTGTTAAGAGTCAATTTTGACTCTAAGTGGCAAAAACGGCTACCATTTTGACTCTTTGACTTTTCTGTTGATTAGGTTATACTTTCATTTGAATAAATTGAGTAAAAGAGAGAGAGAGAGAGAGAGAGAGAGAGAGAGATAAAATTTCTTATTTCTCTCTCTCAACTCATTTTATCATCATGAAAATCCCTTCAAGCTACACCTTTTCATGTAAACTTCATCACTTCTTAACTTTTTGCCTCATCTTGTCATCATCATCAAGATGATTCAAATTAATCACAAGGTGAATTCTGGTTAAAATGATTAATTGACAATCTTACATGGTAACTCTAATTTACTTCATCTCATGACGATAGTTCAAGTCTGAATAAATTACCAGGTACACACACAATTCAACAAAAAGATTCATTATCATCTTAATCATCTTCAAATGAGCTAGTTAACTAATCAACTAACCAGAATTCATTCAGGTTGCGACTTAGTTATATGAGATTTTCAAGTTAAATTATCTCAGTGGTGTAATCAGATAAATATTATGAATAAAAAGATTTCTAATTTAATAATAATTCACATGAATAGCATGATAATTATTAATATCATTCTCTATCTTGTTCATGATAATCGAAGGGAGAAAAAGACATTTTCTCATTCATAAATCTCTCAAGCTGAAAAATTCACATTTCAAATGTTTCATTTTTCTCAATGAAAGTTCAACTCTATCATTCAAATCATCTGATTGTTACAATTTCATTTTATATATTAAATTTTTTTCATCATCACCATGAACTTTATTCAATTCCAAGTTCAGATATTAATAGTTAACTGGATGAAAAGTTCAAGATGAAAGTAAAATTATAACTTTTACTCATTTTCTTCAATCATAAATATACAGACAGACTTTTAATTATCACAATTAATTCAATTGCTTTCACATTTTCTTAATGATATTTATTTTTACTTCATTTAATTGTGATTTACGTAAATCAATAGTGAGTAACAATTAGCTAAATATACTAACAATTAAGTTGATCAACGTCAATGAATCAGTTTGAGATTTTTAATCTTTTGTTTATGTTTAGGTTATCAGGGTAAAAGAAATAGAAACTTGTAATCAGCAATTAATTGATTCAATTGGATCGATTTTCAATAAGTTGATTGTTTAAACATTAATTTCAATCAAATTACAATCTGTTGTAACTTAATTAGTTTTCGGTATCATGCTGAGTGATTAACTTTTACTACAATCAAAATCAATTGGAAGCCAACATGAAACAGTAAATATATTTATATGAACTGGTTGCTTAAATCAAATAGTAATAAAAAAACAATCAAAAGTGATTAACTAATTGTATTGATTAACTCTACAATTAACTTGTCAGTTATGAATTAACAGTTTTAATTTGATCAGTCGGTAAATTTGGCATTTTTTTTTCACGGCAAAAGTAAACAATTAACTTTAGAAAGTTTTAATTTCAATCTAATGAAAGGTTATCAATCAATTTTTAGCTCTAATTTTAGACAATTAAAATTAATTGTTCCTATTAATCAACAAAGTAAAACTAAACACAATTAGTTCAGAGTTTGAGATTTAGTTTTGATATTGTAATACAACAATCAAGTGTGATGAACAATTTAAATTTGTGTTCTCGGTGAAAATTTTGATGACAATTAGTTGATTGTTTGTTTGTTATTCAAATAGTTTTTTTTTTGGTTAATTGTTACAATTTAATTTAATTCAATTAACTTACCATTAGAGCTTGAACAATTTCATCTTCCTCTTGACTTTTCTTTCGTTGGCTCTCTGTGATTAAAATTCAATCACAATTAGTAAATTGTTGATCCAAATGAGCCAAGATACAAATTGATTGTTAATCAAGTGGATTGATAAAATAAATAAATACAATGTTTTATAATTAATAATAATAAATTACTTGAGTGTTATTAATAGTTAATTGTTTACAATTAAATAGAAGAAGAAAAAAAAAATCTTCTTTTTCTATTTACTTAATTAATTGACTTTTCAGGTTTTAATCATTATCTCAACAATCAATAAACAACAACAATCAGTTAATTGTTAGGATTTCCTCTTTAAATCATCGTCATCATCAACGTCACCATTAGTTAAATTATTATAATCAACTATTGGCTAATACAAAACAATTAATTTCATAAGGTTATTATTAACAATTAAAGGAAGTGTAAATTTGATTGCTGGGTAAACACACAGAGAAACTAATTAACTAACACAATCAAGTTAACAAGCTGATTTTTGTTTTGTCAATCAACAATCAACAGAAAATAGTTAAATTTAATTTTCTAATTATGGTTGAAAAAAAAAGTTCAATGGTAATTATGATTAATCAAAATTGTATTTACATTTGTACACCTAAATGAATGGTTTTGTCTTAGCAATTAAATTAAATTAAATTGTTAAGGGATTTTTCTTGATTAATGTCCTTGATTATTTCCTTATGAGGTTTTGTTATTTTGTATACACAATATGTTAACAAAAAGCTAAATTGTTACTTGATTGTGATTAAAGTTAATTTGATTTTCTCACTACCTATTGATTACTTTATGGAAAGGGGAGATTGGTGATTTCCCTTTTAAACTGTTTGACATTTAATAGCAATTTGTTAATTGTTGATAAGTAATTGATACATACAAATAAAGAAAGAGAGTTAAATTATTTGAATAAGTTGACAACAATTAACCAATTGTGATCAAATCAACTAGAAAAGGTTAACACATGAACAGGTAACATAATTTTTGATTGGATTAACTTTGTAATGATGATGATGACAACAAAAAAAAGTCGTAACTGTTGATGTAAAAGTCAAGTGTTTGATGACAATTAAAAAGTTGTTAAGATAATGATTAAGATTGAGAAAAGATTAATGAGTTAATTATTACTTACCAAAGATAAAATCATCATAATCCAATATTGGACTTGTGGGTGATACTGATGAGGGTATTATTGTTGATTCACTCCCTGCTGTTGATGTAACAACAACCTCATTGGGAGTTAATACTAAGGGTATGCTACAAGAATCATCATCATCATAAACTGGTTCAACAATTATACTAACAGAATGAAACAATTGGGGCTTTTTTCTTGAATCACTTCCGTTATTTGAATCATTCATGGTTGTATTTGGTGTAGTTATCTTGTTGTTGTTGTTGTTATTTCGGGTATTTCGAGTGCTAGTTATTGATGTAATTGTTGATTCATTTGTTGATGTTGTTGTTGTTGATTTGGTCAATTCCATTTCATATAAGATATTAATTTTACTCACAATTGATGAACAACAAAAAAATATTCACAGTAAATTGGTTAACTTGATTCACACAATTTCAATGGGTTCGAAGTCAGTTTTTCTTTTCGGTGTATATGTTGATTCTTAATGATATTTTGATTATGATGATGATAGTTATTGGTTGATTATCATCATACTGGTTGGTTTAGGGAAAACTGATTGTTTGTAGGTTTTATTGTAATTTGATTTGATTGTTGGTTTGATTGGTTTGATTATTTGAACTTTTTAAAAAAAGGGATGATTATTGTTTGATCGTAAATGAAACTATCAACTTAAAACTGTTTCCTCATCCTCTCTCTTCACAATAAATATCACATCTCATCCACTCATCATCATGTTTTCATCATCACAATTAAATTCAGAAGGGAAAAAGAAACAACTGACATCTATCGTTTCTCGATTGAACTAACTCTTTTTTTTTCTTTACAATTGATCGGTCAAAGATATCGGGTGACCGAAAATGAGTGAGTATCTCATGAACCTTACGTTTTAGACCCAAGTTTCTATACATTTTAATAAGAAAGTAAATTTGACGCTGAGTCCAAAAAGCTTCGGCTTTTTTTTCTAAGACGTACGGTTCTCGTGAAATCGAGTGGCCTGAAAAACGAACGGTTGACTTTGGACTCAAAATTTTGATCTAAGTGTTGATTTACGACCCAAGCAACTAAACTTTCTCTAGCCGATTTCAAACTTAGAAATTTTAATATTAATATAATAAAATTTATTCTTTTTCTGTTGGGATCATTAGAACTTTTATTAGAATCTTTTTTTTTTGCGAATTTTTTTTTTCAATTTAGTATCTTAAGTTATTCGATAAATTGGCAGATTAGTATTTAAAGACTAATGCTGCTTGTGACATTCGCTGTTTTCTCCTTTCAAACCATAATCTAAATCGAGAAACTTCCGGCATTTCGATCGAGACAACAGTTGCTATCGATTGTGATCTATTAGGTGCTATTCCCCAGGGTTGTGGTGTCGAAGAAGCGAAAATAATAAAATAGAACCAGCCAAGTATCATGATACATCCAATTACGATGAAGATCATATTCCAACGGAAGTCATCAGTTTCCTAAATTCAAAAAGAAGGATAATTTTTTTAATCACATCACTAGATGAAAATTGATCATTTTATTGTAAATCAATTAGATGATTTTACCTTTGAACCAAGAATTGCGTAAACGATGATTGGAACTGAAAGGCCACTTGCCGTTGACGCTGTGTTGGCAATGCCGAAAACAGTTCCCACTAAATCTGGTGACATTTCTGATATAAGGGGAATATCACCTCCCGCTCTGAGGCCAAGTGCTAACATGCTGAAGGTCAAAATGATAAGTATCGATGTTGTATCATGGGAAAGAAATGTAATCACAATAAAACAAATGGCAGGAATGAGAAGAGCTGAAAAAAGGTTGAGATTTCAGATTAACTTAAATGGTCAGTTTGTAATGTTGACCAGTGAAAATATACTTACAACAAGTTTCAAAGATTTTACGAGTAATTGAAACGTGAACAATTTTCTTGATTATAATCCAATCGGAAAGTGGACCTGAGATGACCAGAGTTACAACGATGGACATAAGAAGGTAAAATATGATCCATTGATTAGTACCATTGGAAAATGACCAAACAAATTGAAGATAAATTGGTAAATATGAAGTGACCAGAATGTAACCAATACTCCAAGAACCTTGGGCAATAAATACTGACCATATCTTTTTAGATGACCACAGTTTATACCAATTAACTTTAACTATCTGTGGTTAAATTTAATTAATAATAAATTCTAAACGATAAATCTATTTGGTTTACCTTTCGACGTTGATTAGAACTTGATTCTCGTTGAATGAGCCTCAACTCATACTCAGAGATCCACCGGTGACTTGAAGGGTCAGGAGTGACCATTAGCCACCAGAATACAAGGAAAGTACCATTGAGACCTCCGATAATGTAAAAAACGGCAGGCCAGTCATTGGACATTGACCATGATGACCAAGAGGATCCGCGATGAGATAATGGATGACAAAGGTAACCCGACAATGGAATGGTCACTGCTTGACCAATGGCTATTGAAGCGAAAATTAAACTTAGTACAAGTCCAAGCTCTTTTTTGGGAAACCAACGAGTGACCAGAACATAGATTCCCGTTAAAATGGGTCCATGGGAAATTCCTTGAGTAAAACGAACCAGAAAAATGACAATAACTCCCCCATGAATCGAGATTGGTGTTAACAGGGTCATTAACATTGAAATAATATGAGCACCTAACATGATTCGAACCACATTGAACCGTTCACAAAGTCGACCGGAAATTATATTGACGGGCAGGTAACCATAGTAATAAGCCGTTCTAATAGCAAATCGATCACTCAAACTCCAGAAATAGTAGTAGTCTGGTAGATCCGAATCAAACTTTGGTTCTAACATTCGAGGCTTCGACTGAACAAAAGAAAAAAATTCGAGGAATAAAAGTTAACCACAGAGAACGAATCAACTTACCTGATTTAATTGCGAAAACTTTTGATTTGATGAGGTTAAATTGATACCATCACGAGCAATTGGATCAATGATTAAATTTAAATTAGCACTTGCAGCATAAGCGAATCCGGTTGATAGAATCGCTAGTAGGCCAATTACCGATCGAATCGGAATCAATGGTTTCTCGTTCATTTTGGCCATCATTTCAGTCCACCGGTCGGCATTATGATTACCGTTTCCGTGATTAACGATTGATGGGTTAACCATTATGATTCAAAAAAAAGCAAATCAACTGATTGGTAAAAATTATCTAATTACAAGTCATCACATTTAGAATACAATTAATGAAAGAAATTGTTTTTCTCAGATTTCTGATCAATACTACAACTCGACGATATTGTTATTATAATTACTGATTCGGTGTTAATGCTGTTAATGATTCTTGACTGATTATGATTGGGAATTGATTTCATTATTAACAAATGAATCAGCAGAATTGTCGATCACCAACAATGGTAATTAAAGTTAATTGTAATTGTTATTAAAAGATTACTAACCTTGAATTTGAGTTGAAATAATTTTCTCATCAAAGTTGTTAGACTTAATTGTTGACTTTATTGTTGACAATTTGATGATGAATATTTTATCACATTATTATCATTATTGGTTCAATGTATTAACTAAATTCGTGTAGATTTAAAACTTAATCATGATTATCACAATTGATTATTATTCTTAAAACTAATTGTCTTAATCGTAATTAAATTTTCAAGGTTTTTCCAAAATAATTTCACATTCTATTAATAACAATTAGTCTCAGTTAATTCATTATATTCTCAATGGAATTGAAAATTTTGCTCAACAATTTAAATTGTCCTTCAATTGTTTCGATTCAATTGATTAACAACCAACAAAAATTTCCAATCAATTGCAATCAATTAATTCTGATTCTGATTAAGGTGAAAGAGCAAAACAGACTAACACTAAACTCATCGATTGTCACTTGATATCAAAAGAATAGACTATCGGTTTAAAGATTAAATTGTCATAATTAGTTTAATTTTAACTACAATTAGAGCAATTAGTTAATTTTATTGAAATCGAAAAAAAGTTCGAGGGTTGGTTTAAAAAGAAAAAAACGAATTTTTATTATTATATGTTCCCTGTTTTCTTTTTCTCATTTTCTTTCAGAAAAAAATATAAACATAAACAAACTCATTTCTTTTTTGATTTAGTTGTTGCGTTGATTTGATTAATCAAAGTTCATTCCGATTTCGTTAATTCTAATGGATACTTCATGATCGATCTGTAACTTTCTCGAAATGAGAATGTACCATAAATAAGTGAACTCGTCGTCGATTAATCGAGTTTTTTTCTTCTTTCTCTTGTGTTTACCTTTTGATTTTCTTTTTTTTGGAAAATAATCAATCTCTCTTTCTTCCTCTTTCCCTCTGTCTATCTTTCTCTCTATTCTCTCTATTTTCTCTGTCTTTTTGTTTTTCTTTGTTTGTTCGTTAATCTTGTGACTAGTTCTCTTCTCTTGACAATATTGTTCAATCCTTTTTGTTTTTTATTGTGTTCGACGTATTAAAGTGAAAGAATTAAGATGAAATTAACTTCCATTGTTCGTAGTCCAAGTGTAAGTTCAAACGTTTCTCGAGGTGATCGATGTATGAGACGAATGTACGAATTACGACCTGACCATTGTGATGTTACACTTCTTACAGAGGATGGACATTCGATTGAAGGACATAAAGTTGTCCTTTCTTCAGCTTTACCTTATTTTAGTGCAATGTTTACACCTCGAAGTGGTTTATCTTATATTGAATCAGCTCAACGTGAAATTTTGATAAAAAATATCGATGGTCAAGCTCTCGAGGATATAATTAAATGGTGTTACAGTCTTCCAGTTGAACCTGATGAATCAACGGTACAACAATTACTTTCTGGTGCTAAAATGTTAGATTGCCCGGAAATTGTTTCCATTTGCTCAGATTTCATTATCTCACAATTACATCCTGAAAATGCTCTTGGTATCTATTCATTTGCTGACCTATTAGGTTGTATTGATCTCCACCAATGTACATTGAATTATATTTTATATCATTTTACTACGATTGTTGAAAAATCTGATGAATTTATGCAATTAACGTCTGATAGATTAATCGAGATTATCTCTAGTGAACATATTGATACTGGAACTTTGGGTGAGGAGATTGTTTTCTCTTCCGTAATGTCCTGGGTTTCTCATGATGAAGATAATCGATCTAAATATCTTCCACAATTATTGGAACATGTTCGATTTCCCAAACTTGCCCAGGAAACTTTACTTCAAATCGAGGATCAATATCCATTAATTAAAAGTGATTCAACTTGTAAAGATTTGCTCATTGAGGCGATGAAATTTCATCTCTCAAAAGGAACTGTGGTCTCATCTAATCCACGATTTAGAAATCGTTCCCCTGTAATTAAACCTAAATGTTTACTAGTTGTCGGTGGACAATCGCCTAAGGCTATAAAACATTGTGAATTTTATGATTTTACCTCTGAACGTTGGTATGATTTACCAAACGGATTACCTTCGAGAACCTGTCGCGCTGGACTTGCCATTTTAAATGATCATATTTACATTGTCGGAGGTTTTAATGGTACTACCCGATTGAAAACTGTTCAGTATTTTATCCCATCAAAAGGTCAATGGGTAAACTGCCCCGATATGCAGGCCAGAAGGTCAACTCTTGGTGTTGGTGTTTTGGATGATAAAATTTACGCTGTTGGAGGTTTTGATGGTACTTCCGGCTTAAAATCGGCCGAAGTTTATGATCCCTACAAGTGTACATGGTCTTATATCGCTTCGATGTCAACTAAAAGATCTTCCGTTGGAGTGGCCACTCTTAACGATCACATTTACGCTGTTGGTGGTTACGATGGAGCCTCTCGAGGTTGCCTTTCTTCCGTTGAGTATTATGATATTGTTCGTGATACTTGGAATCTTTTACCTGAAATGTCTCAAAGGCGAAGTGGTGCCGGTGTTGGTGTTCTTGATGGTAAATTATACGCCATTGGAGGTCACGATGGACCCGCTGTTAGGAAAAGTGTTGAATTCTATGATCCAGTTGCCAATTGTTGGATGCAATGTGCTGATATGATTGTTGCTCGTCGAAATGCTGGAGTTGTAACCAAAGATGGTCTTCTTTATGTTATCGGAGGTGATGAAGGTCTTGACAATTTGGCCTCAGTTGAAATCTATGATCCACGGAAAAATCAATGGACCTTATTACCACAAGAGATGTCAATTAAACGCAGTTACGCGGGTGTTTGTATTGTAGATAAATTTATGCCCCCAGAGAATGAGGATGTAATTGTTTCATCGATCGCCTCAGGCGGTGGTGGTGGTGCTTTAGATCAACGTATTTCGCCTTCTGATAGGTGTGTACTTGAAAAAGAAAAGAAAGAGAGAGAGAGAAAGAGAAAACAAGTCGCTCGTTAATCTAGTCTTTTAAATCTTGTTTATTCAGCTTTCTGATTTTCTCTCATCAATATAATTCCAATCATGTTAATTATCTTCATGATCATCGTCATCGTCTCTCTCTCTCTCTCTCTCTCTCTCTCTCTCTCTTCCTCTTAATTTCTTCTACTTTATCCAATCATCAACTTAAATTATCTCATTATATCAAATTAGCTCTTGTCTCTTATTTTTTTTCCTTCTCTCTGTCTGATCTTTTAACATTCAACTTGGAACTCAGATATTGAAGTGATGATAATTCATCTGATATCATCTCATCATTAACAGGCTTCGACTTCAACCTTTCCTGTTGACCTAGAACTCAATCTATTCAGCTTAATTTTTTTTTCCTTCAATTTATCATCATTATCATCATATTATCTTCCAAATACTAATCTTTTTCTTTCATTTCTTTTCCTTATTCACATTCAGAGATGTTCATCATGACCAACGATAAAAGCCAATCATCATCATCCTACTAATCACAATTAGCTGTAATAATAATTGTTCACATGGTTTTATATTAATATTTTTCTTCCTCTAAGAGGCTTCATCATCTTCACCATAATCATCATGACTTTAATCATCTGATTCTTTTTTTTCTGGCCAATGATTAACGCACTTTAATCATTTTCCCCAGTTAAATCAAGTATTATCAATTCGAACGTCACAAAAATGTACAAAAACAATTAACGAGACGGGACGGGAAATTCATAGACATCCATTCATTCATTATACTTCCTGTAATCATCACCAACAATCAACTAATCAGTTGATCAACATTAAGGCAAAACAACATTTTTATTTAATGACGAAAATGAATCATCATCATCATGAGAAAATCATTTATGACTGATTAATTAATCAACGTAATTCCAATCACTAAATTGGTAAAATGTTATAAAACTATTGCTTTTATTTTTTCTTCTCTGTGGTAGAAAAAAAAAATTAATTGTTAATTTTTAGTTTAATTGCGATGTAATCAACTTATCTCATACTCGACGACCAATTAAGTTACAATTCTAACTTTAAATGCTCTCTTTAACTCGACTTTACCATTTTTCTTTCAATATAAACAATAACAATCAACGAGTTTCTATCAATCAAAATACTTTTTCTCTTCTTAATTGTGGATATTAATTGTTGATCAATTCTACAACTAAATGGTAACAATGTATTAAAGAAATACAATCCTTAAATTGTCACAATTGAATTGGTCTAATCATCGAAGAGAGAAAGAAAAAACTTCTAATCATCAACCACAATTGAAGTAACATTGCGAATCGGCTAATTGTTAGAATCAAATTTTCTTCTCCTAATTACAATTTAATTGTTCTCTTAATTTGATTTAAATTGGTTTTCTTTTTTCGATACCCAATCTAAATTGTTTTCAATAACTTTCAACGGAAGTTTATCCAACCTGATTTATATTATATATTAAAATGATTATGATTAAAAGGTAATCATTATATGATTATTACAATTTATTAATCTTACCATTCAATCAAAAATGATTAACAGTTAAATTAACGACCTGCTTCTTGATCATGGAAACGAGTTTTTTGTTACCGTTATCCTTAATCAATGGAAATCAGGTCTTGACTGAATTTCTTATAATACAAATCAACATCAGATAGTAATTAAAATATTAATCAACCTGTGAATCAATCTGATTATGGTTATAATTTAAATGAGTGAAAACAATCAATCTAATCCTATCCAATTAAGAGATGATAATGATTAATTATGCATAATTAGATATTCAATCGTAAATGATTTGATTTAGTTTTGGCTTTTGTCACACAATTAATTACCAAATTGGTTAATTCATTAGTTGATTGATTTTTTTGTTTGCTTTTCTACAATAATAATCAATAATATCGTTAATTATTTATCATTTATCCTCTTTACAATTAATGGATCTTAATTGTTGGCTTTAGATTAATTTACATTCGTGATCAAGGTAAGTGACAATCAACAATATTAATAATCTAACAAATTTTTTTCCTCTTTCTGATTAAAACTTGATACTAATCATGAGGTAATTATTTAATTACTAATTGTTTACATGTTTAGTTTCTTCTTGTTTTTGTTTTAATTGTTTACATCAGCAGTTATACTAATATATACAGTTTGTATTAGCAATCTAAACATGTAACAAATCAGTCAATCAATGACTAGTAATCATATCAAAATTTAGGTAATTAATAGTTTGGATGGTATCCAAATATCATAGGATATTAATGGCGATGATTAATAAATTGTCCGGTTAATTGTATTTCAATTGTCAATGATAATATAACAGATTAGATTATAGCTGATTGGACAGAAATAATTGTAATAGTAACAAAAACTTTTCATGTAAAGTTTATATTTAGTATTATATATAAAAAAAGGGATGATTCTAGTTACATTGATAGAGAGACAATCAAAACTAATTGAGTTGGACTAATCATCCTTATTGTTGATTTGATTTTCCTTATTGAGAACTTTGGATCTGAGTGGTAAATTTAAATTGGCGGGAATGTTTTCCATACTTGGCTGGCGACTTGCCGGTAAACTGGTACATCGTCGTTTCAATGGATTATTGGACTCTTGGTCAGCTCGATGAGCTTCAATGATTTCCAAAGCTTGACCAATAAGTAAAATGTTTAACCAAAATTTGAAAGTAATCAAACTAAACAATTGAACAGTAAAAAAAAACAATAGAAAACATTAAGTTAATAAAATGTAAATGTTAAAGACTTGAAAGAAGATCATTATGATTAATTGATTTGTTACAATTACCAGAGGAAACCTAAAACTATCGATGAGATCCCATACCAGCCATTGAGAGGTACAGAGATTACAAATACTTTCATTAATAATAAACCCAAAGGTAAAGGTACAAAACCCATTCGCTTTGATATTGTATCAGCATGATCGGAATAGGCCTATGAGAAAGTTGGGAAAACAAATTAAAAACAGTTTCTGTTAATTAAGTGAAACATGATGTGAATCAATAATAATAAGATTATTTATACAACTAATTAAACAAATGTTAAAACATTGAAAATAGTCTACGTGTAATTAGGTAACTGTCACCATTAGACTTACACTTTTTAAATTGCTACTCGCAATATCATAGGATAAACTTATGGTGTAAGTGTGGTAAATTTCATGGCTAATATCATTGAATCGAGTGACGAAACAATGTTTAACCCAATCAACTGCAAATTCTGAGATGAAAATAGTAAGACAATAGGGAATTAATATCCAAAAGTGTCTCTCATCCCAATTATATTCCTTCATTGTTTGCATGATGACCACAAATAAGATAATCAGTAGATGGAATCTCTCTTTCACATCGTTACATGACATTTGGAAAAGATTGTTTTTCTCGAATTTTTTGAAAACCATTCCTTTAAGCTCGACGAACTATTATGACAGAAATAATCAAAGAAAAATATTAGATATTAGGATAATTGTTGAGAACAGTTATTCCAATGGAAAGGGATAAAAAAAAAGATAATATTGATTAGTTTACATTATTGGACATCCATATGGTGAGAAGGGCATTGTTACTTGAGTTAATTGCTACATTGAGTGTGGTTGCTTGAAGGAGAACCAGAATTGTATGGACAACTGAATTTAGAAGAGAAAATGAATTTTGGATTAGTTGATTATCATTTTCCTCTGATAATTGTAATACTATCAACTAACAAATGTAAACAACGGTCATGAAAAGATGAGGAATTACACCAAAATGTTCCCGTTTTCTTCCTCTTGGTTCGGTTGCTGTCCAATATAAGGTATCCAAAATGTCCAAGCCAAATGAGGTAATCAATTTATCAGCTAACTGTTGATGAAATAATTAAGCAAAAAGTTGATAAGATAAGATGATTAATAATAACATGAAAAATAATGGAAGATGAAGATTACCTCGAGCATATTGAAGAAGATATAAAGTTTTATCACAGATTGAGATTTAATTATATGATATAACATTGAGGTATCGATATAGAAGATGAGAGAAGCTCCGATTATAAACATAATCCCTTTGAGAAGATCACAAATCTCGGCTGGTTTTAACGTTGAACCTCCTTGATTATTGGATAATCCATCTCTGTTATCAATGGAATAAAAAGAAAATACAAGAGAATGAAAAAGTTATAAGGAAATAGAATAGAAAGAAAATCATTTGGCAATAAGAAGAAGAAAATTAATCTTCTTATAATAAACGATATAACTAATACTACTTGTAGTAGATATCGAAGAGTAAATCATTTTACCTGAGAGATTTTGACCTTGATTTTGTCACTAGAAACCACAGGGAGAGGAGAAAACGTATTGGCAGGAGAGTGAAAAGAGATACAAAAACATCTACACATTGTAGAAAACCGAACCACATAAATTTCTCCAATTCTCTTGGAATTTTTAGAAATTTGTAAAATTTATCTCTTCTCATTCTCATTTCACCGGCATCATTTTCCAACAGGTAAGTTCCTCGTAGCTCATAACGGATATAATCATAGAGAGAGAAATTCCTCCAGTCAAGAGACATTTCAGAATTTCCATCTGAAGAAGATTGTGATAAATTTGCACTGACACTTGGACTACGAACAATTGAAGCCAATTTCATCTTGGATAAAATGATTAAATACTAATTTAAAATTCTAAAAAAAAGAACGGAAGAAAAAGAAAATCAGATTGATGATTTTCCCAAAAAAAATCAAGTAAACTCGAAATACTTTTGATAAAAGAGAGAAAATAAAACACCACAATCACAACGACAATTAATCCACACTTAATTATGGTGCATCCTCTTAACGAGAAATTCACAAATTAATCATGATGTATCCATCGAAATCAACGAAATCTTAATCACCACAAGAATTAAAATAAACTCCAAACAACTAGAAGAATGAGTTTGTTTACATAATCGGCTCAGCTCGCTGATTCGAATTGTCGACGCGGCGACAATTCCAATAGTTGGAAAATGACTCACCAGGTATCGCAGTCTACACATGATTAGTTGATTCTTTTTAATTGTTGTGATAATTTTACAATTAAAACATTTCATCAGTTAATTTAATTGCGATGTTTTCTTTCCTTCTTTTCACCCTTTTTGATGTTTGATTGATTGTGTTCACTCAAAATCTCCTCTGTATCCAACACGATCAACAGTTCACTCTAACTTTTTTTTCATCGAATTAGTTGTAACAATTAAGAGGAAAAGGAACAATTAAAGGAAAGATAATCAAGATATAAAAATAGAATAATAGTTTATAATTAGTTCATGATTCACTTTTGAACAAAATCATTTTCGTTTTTTAATTACTCGTTAAGATTTTCGTCATTTCTTTTCGTTAGATATTAGATTCATCTACAGATTATCTTATGAAATTCAAATAGCATTTATTTATAATCATCTCATGGAAATTTCTATGATATAATTACTAACAATTAATCATTTTCTCAGTAATCAATCACCTTGAATTTGGCTTAAACAATTGGAGAAAACATTAAATTGTTAATGATACAACAACAACAAAAGGGTTTTCAATTGAATGTGAAAAAAAAACTCAAATTTTGGAGAAAAAAAAATTAGTAACAATTAACTCAATTGTATGAACACTAATCATGATAACAATTGACCATAATTTAAATGACAAGAAAAGGGTTAAAAGTACTTAATTTATGAATGAAAATGATGAGTTTCTGTTGATAATATGATTGTTGTTACCGAATCAAAATGTTAATCATGATTAAATCTGATTCCATGAAATATGAAACCTTAACTACTTCAAGTTAATGATTATGGTTAAGCGCGTGTCCCTAACATATTACAATGATCAACATTGATAATAATCAAGATTACTGACCATTAATAGCAAAATTCAAGATACTAATCAATGCTAATAATTAACTATCCCTAATGATAAGGAAATTAGCAAAAACTAAATTGGATTGATCAAGAAAATAATATTTACTTTTGGGATGAAAAAATAAAGAAAAGCTAATCATAATTATCTACTACAATCGATAAATATTATTATTTATCAACAATTAATGAATAATCATCAATATTAATATCAAGACAATCAAATGTAAAAATAAATATCATATTAATTAAAAGTTTCATCAACTTTTCTGATGCAACAAAATTTTAATCATTATTATTGTTTCAATATCAACATTTATAATATTATATAACATTTTTTTTTTAATTAACTTGATTAAATGACAATGATGATGATGATGTTGGTGACAATTGACCCTTGAAGGTCAAATCTTATCAACCAGCAACAGGATGAGTAAAAATAATGATAAATATCCATATCGACAATTGTAACAAATGAGTAAAACTAATTGATGAAGTTTAGTTAATTAGTGTTACTTAATTTAACATTGGTATTTGATTTTTATCAACTAAAGTTGAAAATGATAATAACATCAAATTTTAATCGATGGCACTACTTTGGTACTATTGTGATATTAAACCAAATTAACTAACCATGGGAAAAAACTGATTGCTCTCATCAACAACAACAACAATCAACATAATAACAATGATGATGATCATCATTTCTCTTTCTTTTTCTTCCTCTTTATGGTTAAATGAATATCGACACGCGTTTAGAACCAAAAAGTTCGAGAGAGAAAGAGAAAGAGAAAGAGTAAGAAAGAGCGAGAGAGAGAGAGAGAGAGAGAGAGAAAAGTCGACGCGCGTTTACCGTTATATTCTTATGGCTCTTTTCTTGCTCTTCTTTTTTTCTGTCCTCTTTCCACTCTCCCTCCTCCTCTATGGTTAAGTGATCAGAGAGTGAGTGAGAGAGAAAGATGATGATGAGAGAGTTAAAACACGCGTCATCTTCCCCCTCTTTCATCATCTTCTTCTTCTGAAACATCTTCTTCATTATTCGTGAGCCACCATCAACATGAATCACGAATGATCCGGAAGTTGCGAAGACAACTTTGACCTGAGGTATATTAACACGGGTTCTTGTTATTATTATTATCATCAACGATATCTATAGACTCGGAAATTGAGTCATTTGTTGGGAACCATCAATGATAATGATGATGATAAAGATGATGAAGATGGTAAAAGGCAAAAAGTTTATAAATATATATTTCTCTCTATCTCTCTCTCTCTCTCTCTCTCTCTCTCTCCTAGCAAAAGCATCATCATCATGATTACTATGAAGATGAAAACAGAAGCCACGTGATCCCTTTTATTTGAATTCATTTTTTTCATCATGCTACTTTGAATGATGAAGATGAAGACGATGATGATGATATCAAAATGCATTTCATATTTTTGGCTCATTGTTTCATATTATCATAATCAGTTTTGATTGTTGTTGATCGTAACCATAAAATGTTTTAACATAACCAATAACAATAATCATAAGCCTAATAATCATAATCAAAACGTTTTTACATTATCTTCATCTTTTCATATCTCTTCATGATGATGGAAATGAGGGGGGTAGTGGGGTGGGAAGATGATGATGATGATGATGATGAGAAGGAGTAGGAGTAGGTGGTTGGAGAATCTTTGACAAGCCTTTTATTATCATTGCAGAAAAGTTTCTAGGTTAGTCTCAGTCACTTTGTTTTCCATATTCATCTTCCCATCATTCCTCCTCCTCCTCCATTATCATCATGACCTTTAACCTTTTCCCACCAACATCATGATCCACGCATCATCAATGAGAATCAAATGAACCCTATATTCATTTCATCATGTAACTGAATTGATTCAATGAATGATAACTTTTATAACTAACATTTCATTTGATTTTTTTTCACCAAATTTTCATCAAATTTAAATTGCTAATTGTGATTCATTTTTGTTAAATTCACAATTAAATGAACTTTTTTTCCCTCTTCTCTGATTCCAAAATTTTTCAGCCAAAATCAGAAAACTGAATAAACATGATTTAAAAGACTAGATTAACGAGTGACTCTCTCTCTCTCTCTCTCTCTCTCTCTCTCTCTCTCTCTCTCGATCGCTCGCTCCCTTTAACAATATTCTTAACTCACTCCTCGATCTATCCGCATCTTTGCCGCTCTCATATTTTTCTCACCAAACTGAGTTCCGATTTCTCAAGTTAAAGATTCAACTAAATGATTTTAACAATTAGTTAATTGGTAGTGTTTGTTATTACGAGATTAACAATTAACTAATTAACTAAACTCCTTAAATAGTATTAATATTGAAAGCTTATAATAACAATAATTTCCAATCAATTCCAATTCCACCTGCTATTCAACTGGATTTCCTCTTCTCCCCACAATAAGCTCCCCATTCTCATCATTTTTACTCCTCATCTTCCTCCTACTTTCTCTCATAGTCATCATCTCTCCACCATAGATACCATTTTATTGAATACAGTGTCATAGTAAATGTATAGTGTCAGAGCATCTTCATCTCGCTGTTCATTGTAACTCTCTCTCTCTCTCTCTTCCCACTGGCTCTCTCGATTTAACGTCCAACACCCTATTCATCCTCATCATTATCAACAAATAACAACAACAAACCTTAAACAAAGTTTTTTTTTGCCAATTTCATTTCATAACGTTAATTGGTGATTATTATTATCAACAGATTATCATGCCCATTTCAAGTGAACAGTGTCAACAATTAGAATCAAATTTTGATAAAGTTAACAAATTACCTTCATCCATCTCCTTAGCTTCACCTTATTCATCATTCTCATCTCCATCTTCATCATCATCATCATCATTATCAACAATATCCCAAGTTTCCTCACCACAATCACCAACATCACCCAACAATATCAACAAAATAATAACAACACCAAGCAAAATAGAACCACCAAGTCCACCACCGCCTCCACCACCATCAACTAAACCTTTCCCTGATTACTCCCGGGATATTGATCCAAACATGTGTCTCTGCAATATAACAAGTGATAATCATCGTTCATACACCACAACGAGCATACCCACCACCCAAACCACTCCAACATACACTAGTGCTGACCTTTATCATCGTTTCCATCCTCATTCATTTTCATCATCATCTCAATTGATCACCAATAACCATCATCATCACCATTCATCTTCACCCTACAACAACAACCACCTTCATCCAATCCTTACCTCTCCATCCTCATCTTCATCCTCTCCAATTACATCAACCACCTTGTTAACCAATAATAACAACACCAATATAAACAATTATTCACCAATTAACAGTTTAATTGATGTTAATCCAATTTCTTATAATCCAGCAAATAATATTGCCTCTTTAAACTTGATCACCAACAACAACCTGATTAACAATCCAATAATCCCAACCTCCAATTCAAATGGTAACATTAATCCTAATCTTAATCATGATCATTCAGATACAAATGGATCAGTTAACAATTTATTATCATCTACATCACTTATTGTTGATCCAACATCATCTTTACCTCATCATCACTCCCACCATTCATCAGGAGCATCTCGTCATCATCATTCATCATCATCAACATCCACATCAACAACATCATCTTCATCTTCTTCCTCATCAACCAAAGAGTCAAAAAAATCCTCATCTTCATCCCAAAGTAAGAAAACAAAAATAACTTTTTTTCTAAATTTTCGCAAGTCATTATTTCATCAGAATCGCTCAAGTTTTCCAGAATTTATCATGAAAATTGTGACGACCATCAATTGATTTACTTATCAGCACTAATTTTAATCAACTTTCGTTCCAAAATGATTTCATTCTAATTGTAACCATTGCAAAGATTAAAAAGATTACCTCATCATGAAGATTATCGTTAATCATCATGAGGTATTCTGATTAATCCGGTTAGGAATGAGCTCACCTTCCTGAGGTTTTTTTTTCAATTGACAAGGAAGTTTATCTTTCCGTTTCCTCTTAATCGTCATCATCACCATCCGATTGATTATTATGAAAAATTTAACAATAAAAAGTAAACAATTTAGTCTCAATCTGCAAACCTAAATAAATTTCAACCTAAAATTTAATCACAATTTGATTATAATGTTTATCTGGTTCATTAATTGTCACTGATCATAAACTTTCAATCAAAACAATATCCAAACAATTAAAACGTTTATAAATTCAATTTCCGGCAATTAAAACAACAAAGACAATTGGTTGGAAATATAAAATCCCCTAACAATTAAAACTAATTGTTTATCATTGGTGAGATTATGAAAACTTAATTACTAACTAATTCTGTGTTTCAATTTTTTGCATTACAATCAAATTGTTAAAAGTTAGTCTTAATCATCACAATCAACTGATAGCAAACAGACACACAATTAACTAGTTTTTTTCTAATCAGATTAGATAATTTTAGCCCCTAATTAGTGATTCAAACTAATTAGTTAATTGTTAGTCTACAAAACGGAAAATCTGAAAAATTAAGATAACAAGTAAGAATCCAAAGCAAATTTATCATACTAATCAGCCTCTTGAAGACGAATCTTTTAATTGGATTTAATTTTCAACGAAATGATTAGCGTAATTTATTTTGATCGTAAATTAATCATTAGAACTTATCGAATTCAAGTTGGACAGTTCGAGTTTGTTTCTTTAACAAAATCATGCTAAAGAAAAACGTTTAAAACTAATGATAATAAACAAACTATGATAAGATTGATGATAAATATTAAAGTGAATGTAACAATTAAACACATCAAAACTATCAACAACAACAACAATTAACAATCAAAAAGTAACAATCATTATGATGACATAAAAAAATAAATTGTTATTATCATATGAAATAATATATTTATTACCAAGGAGAAACCATTTATCATAATAATAACGATGATTTTGATTAACAATTGGTCCAGTATATTGACAATGATGAGAATCGACTAACTGTGACCAGAATTAACTGGATTAACTTATTGATTTCTGATTGATATCAATAAAATAAAATGAGAAAGTGATAGGATAAAACGAAGAGTAAAAATTATCCAATATAATAAAAGGAGAAAAAATGAAAAAAAGTTCTAATCCAAATACAGATTCGAGGTGACGGTCAATCAACGAGATCAGAAAAGATCCAAAAAAATTGAATGATTGATTGCAAATAATAAGTTTCGATGTTATGAAATGGATGAAGAAAACAATCAGTTACAATCAACGGGGTGATCTTAATAATCACGCCTGCATTTTGTTTAGTTAATAACAGAAAACAAACTAAATCAGTTGATTACCTTTGTGACCATTGGTCAAATGTTATGCATTATTATTAATTCAATTTGTTGATTGTCAACAAGATATAATAGTAAATATGAATGGAGTGTGATGATAATCTGAAAGGATAATGAGAAGGGAGTAAAACCGATTATGTATTAACAGTATAAAGAGTTACATATGCAAAAGAGTGAGAAAGAGAGAGAGAGAGTGGGTAAGTAGTGAGTAGAGTGGTAAAAAAGATGCTACATCAAAGTGACATTCACACCCTATTCAAATGTAAACAATAAAGCAGCAAAAAAGGCTTACCAATTGATGGAGATGATAAAAAAAGGATAAATATTATTCAATCAATTGGAGCTTTTTGTTTGACTAATTTTTTTTATGTATATATTTGTTATTATATTACCATTGACCTGTATTTTTGTTTTGGTAAACAACTTTTGACCATCTCACCCGAGATATATACTGGTCATTATTATCATCATCAGCCACCTCCTGACAAATAATCATCATCATCATCTTTGATCCTTAAAGTCACGCGACTTATCATCATAATCATTGTTATGCTAATTCAAAATGTTGAATCGTTTTCATATTTTTCCTTTGGTCAGTTTTGTAATAATAATAGTTATCCATTGGTTTTGTTTTCTCCTCCTTTCCATTTCTGATTGTTCTGGACAGTTTGTTCAGTGGACATTATTATTATATGATGTTCATGATGATGGTGATCATCATCAACATGATTAATGTACTCTCTCACTATCAGTATATCTGATTACTGAATCATTGTCACCATTAAATCAACATGATATTTATTGTTATCCAGAATTTCAATATCTTATTCAGTTGATTTTATTTCTCTCTATTATTATTGTTATTTTTGATTTCAATGATAACAATGATGATAAGTTGACCTATTATTGTTATTGATAAATGTTCATCCTATCATATCATGAATATGATAGTTTTTTTTTGTGGGTGTGAGGGTGATGATGATTTCTATGAATCTCTTATGATATATTGATATATTTTCATAATATCAAAATAAAAGATGATAAAAAATGATCAGTAGGAGTTTTTAAGATGAGATTTGTGATGATGATGATGAGCATGATAAAGGTTATAATATAAAGATAGCCTGAGGTGATAAAAACCCTCTAACCATTTGGATGTCACAATAATGATAATAAAAATGAAACTTGACCAATCCTTTTCCATGTTATTGACCATCCTAATCTTGCCTTAGGTTATTATTATTATGATAATGATTAAAAGGTGAGGGAGGATGAATAATCATCTAGATTAATGGTAATCTGTTGGTATTTAAATGAATCAGATTAACTTTCATCTGATTTTCATATTGATCCTCATTTTTTGCTCACTCATTGTAATATCTTTTTGTAATTTGATTAATTAATTTTACACTGATTGTGACAACAATTAGCTTAAAAAGTCAACATTGGTGAATAATTTAAATCATATTATTATTACAAACAATCAAAAAGATAGTTAATCAAATGAATTGTTTTTTTCTGTTTATGAGTTAATCTTTTTTTTTGTTATCCATTTAGTTAATTATTATAAACAATTAGCGATTATAGTTTAACGCTGTTACTTTTGATTACAATTAATATTATTATTAATTAACCAACCATAGAGTACATATACTTTAATTGTTATCATTAATCTTGCTGATTATCATCATGATGGTTAACTTAGTTTTTTAATCAATCTTTTTTTTCACTTGATCATCAGAAAAACTTTTTTTTTGTATAATCACCATGAAGATGATGAAAAAAAGTGAGAATGAGAGAGACATGTAGAGACACTAACGGGATGATAATGAAGATAATTTTGATGATGATGAAAATGATGATGAAGGGCGTTATGTGATTATCTTCGAGTCATTAAACTTTCAATGAGATTTTATATGTTGGAAGGAAAATTTTTTGTTCCATCAAAACATTTCAATCGAAACCATATTGTAAATATTATCATCATCATCTTCACAATATCATCACCTAAATGTCCTCAGGGTATTAGGGTGTTAGTTTAACACCATTATTATCACTTACTGGGTGAAGGTGAAAAGTATCGATGATCGGGTTGAATAATAATAATAATTTTCCCTCAGGCGATTACATTTTTCAAAATGGAATAATAAAAATTGTTTTGACAACTTTTTTTCGAGGAAAAAAGTTTCGAACTTGAAATAAACCCTTTCAACATCAAATCGACACATCAACAATGATTAGCATTGTTGGTTTTACTATTTTTGATTGTTGTTATATTAAATTATCATTACTATTTAATGGGAAATAATCAAGTTTTGATTGTAAAATCAAAAATTGATTCATAATTTTAACTCAATTCAAATTCAATTGAATGTTTTTTTTTGTTACGAAAAAGTGACAATTTTAAATCATTATTAGCATTTCCTTTATCCATTATCATCATAATCATGATGATGATATTGATTATTATCATCACCATTTCTGATTCATGAGCTTGTTAATCATCATCATCATCAAATCCCCAGAATGAAATTAATATTATCATTAATTTAATCATTCCCTGATTTGGTTCCAGAATATATATCACAAAGTGACATGGAATTGATTTCATTTCTCTGACATTATTACAACAATTAACTCATGCAATTAAACCATAATGGTGAAAATTAATGATAGACTTGTAATCATTATCAACAAATAGTAACTAAAACAGAGACACACACAATTGAATAACAATTAAAGGTAACAATTAACTCTGAACGTGTTGTATCAATTTGTTGTATTGTTTTCATTTGAAAACAAAAACAAATTTCAAATATCAATCGATTATTATGTTTAATTTGATCACAATTAAACTCACAATGATATCTAACTGTTATAACTAAATTAAGACTAATTAATGTAAATTAAATGTAAATGATAAACACTATTGTTGATCATTTCAAGTGTATCATCATAATATCAATTGCAATTGACATTATGCTGATTGTTAAAAAAAAGTTTCATTATCTTGAAACTTTAACAATAAACAATTGATTGTTGATGTCATACATTTGGTTGATATTTACAATAGTTGATTGTTAATCATAATAATCAATTGATTAAATCTTTGAACATTGAAATGTACTTATTACCCTGAGCCCTTTAAATGATAATAATAATACAAATCACTGTTCACTTATTTACTATTTGTTAATCAATTTAACCCAAATTTTACTTTTCGAGGTTCATTTTAAATAGTTAGTTAGTTACAATTGAATAATAATCAATGTTAATCATGATCAACGTTGTGATTAAGTCACGTGCCATTGGTACACACACTCACTTAGTTAAATCTTCATCTCATGTCATCTTTATCCCTCAATCACTAATCCTAATCAACATGGTGATAACAATTGATGATTATGATTAACTCAAATTGTTGCTGATCCCAATTTTTTACTGTTACTTTTCAATGGGAATCTATTTAAGGTTATTCAATTGGAAGAGAAGAAAAAATTTCTCTTTCAATTTTTATGCTCTCTTTTTATTCATGTCAGTGGGGTGGGAAAAGTGGGTGGATGATGGTGGAAGATGATGATGATGATGATGATGATGACAGGGTAAACATTACCATGTTGTAGCTATTCAATTCAGCTTCAATGATTTAATCACAATTAACTGATTATCCATTGTGATTATTGTCATACTGTCTTTTATTTAGATTCATTTAACATTTTGATTGTCCTTTTTTTTCTTACCTTAATTGTGATTAAGTTTTGTTTTATATCAAGTTGATTAATTAATTGTTCGTTTTACTATTACCTTTACACTATCATAAAAATATTCTGTTGATTATAATGACAATTTAATTTATCTAATTCTCCGTTGATTGTTTTCTATCATTAAATGATAATTAGAATGATGAATAAATGATTTACAGTTAATTGTGTATTCGAATCACGAAAATGGTTTTACAATCAATTCCATTGTAATTATTAATTGTTACTCTCTCATCATCATCATCATCATCATATCTCTCTCTTTGGTAACAATTAACTTTCATCATCTTTTTAAATCATTGAGCTTTCAATTAAATGTAATAATCTTTAATTATCTCAATTGGAAAGTAATTAACTAAAAATATTGCTCAACAATTAGCCGCTATTACAATCACTCGTGGAGATAATTAAAATGTATCAACATTATTAACAGTGAAAGTGGTGAAAGATTAATTCAAAATTTCAAGCAATCAAAAGTAAATTAAATTATTTGCAATTCAAATTTATGACAAACTAATGATTGAAATGTGAAAACAATTAGCAAACAATTAACAAAGATAACTTAATCAATGATAGATAAAAACTGCCAATGCTGCCATTGGAAAAGGGAATTGTTAACAATTAAAATTAAAAGTGATAACAATTGATTATGTTAGTTAATTGTGTTGGATTAAATTGTTGAAAAGTTTACATGAAAAAATGAAATTGATTGGAAAGCAACGTAAACATTATTAACTTGACATCCAATATTTGATGAACCATGAACATTAGTATAGGAGGAAGTGGATGAAGATGAAGATGATAAAAAGATGATGATTCTAAGAAGATGAAACTTTTATAGGACATGATCAAGTTTATCATCTTCTCTCCGTCTCTCTCTTACTTTATCATCATTTTGCTCTTTCTTTTTCTTTTATGTTCTTTTTTTTTGTAGATTCATTTTTCATCTTGTTCTCATTTTTTTTCTTCATGTATATTTTGATTCTGAAACAGGAAGACTGAATTTCGAGGGTGTGGTGGGGGTGGAAACTGTCAGTTTATTTGTTGTTTTTTCTTCCATGATAGAACTTCATTTTTATCTCTTTATCATGTTTAAATATTTTCCTCGTTGATTAAGATTGCGACTGATTAGATTTTCATATTCATTGTCTTTTATCATCGGCACGAATCATGAACATCATGTTTCAACAAAATAATCAATTTTTTTTCTTGCACCAGGATAGTTTTTTTTTCTTCAATTCTGACTCTGTTTTTAATCAGAATCAGAATTTATTATTGGATAAATTACTTTTATTATCATTATTATTATTATTATTATGGAAATGATGATAAAGATTGACATTCATGTGATAAAGTCAATTATTATTATCATGATGATGAGTGAAAAAAAATTGAATCAACAACACGCAGGATTAATTTCAAATAGATGATGTTATTAATAAATATGATTCAGTGATGGAAAAAAAAGTTCTGATGATGAAGATAAAAAGATGATAATGAAAAAAAAAGTTAACGAAGTTTTTTTCAGAAGATAAAGTGATGAAAATGATGAGTGGAAGATGAAAAGAAGGTGGAACTTGAATTTTATCGACTTGTTATCTTTCCACCCTGCGGAGAAAGTGGGTGGAAGAGGAGGAGCAGCGGGTAAGATGTTGGGTGGAGGAAAAGAAAGAAAAAGAAAGAAAGAAAGAAAGAAGAGAGAGAGAGAGAGAGAGAGAGAGAGAGAGAGAGATAAATAATCGAAAGAGAAAGTAGAATATTTTTCTCTTAGTTTTCTCTGTCTCTTACTTTCTTTTCTCTTTCTTTGTTAAGCTCCGCCTTTTGATTGATTTAGGAAGAGAAAAAGAAAGAGTCGAGATGATGAAAGGATGAAGATGATGAAGATGAAGAGAGAGATAACTTATATAGAGACATTATCGTCTATTGGTCGAAATGTTCACCATATAAAAAGGTCTCATCCCAGCACATACTCTCTCTCATACACTCTCATCTTCATCATTTTCTCACCCTCCACCATCATCTTCATCTTCTTTGTTACCATGGTGATCATCTTTCTCTCTTTCTTTTTCTCTTTCTCCTTTTTTTCCTGATCATCATCATCATCATTTCATAAAACTTTTCCTCTCTCTATGTTAACTCAATGTGATAAAATAATAATTCAATCCCTGGTAAAAAAAATACGAAACGTTGCAACTAAAACAGTAATTAAAAACTGCTAATTATTTATCAACTAGTTTAATAACCTAATTAACTGGATTAACTAATTGTTCAACTTTCTTTAAATTGTCTATATGTTTGTGTTGATATTGTATTAAAGTTTCACTTTGAATTAAATCAGTTGAAATCAAAATCGTCGCAATCCTTTTTTTTTATTTGCTTCCTCTTCATCTGAAACAATTTAAAAGTAACAATTAAATTTAATTGCAATTGAAAATCATGATACCCACAAGCAAACGAGATTCTTATCAATCAGTTTCATCTGATTCTGATTGTGAAAATTTCTGTTGTCCTCCCAAATCGTCCCGATCTTCATCCTCATCACAAGGTGATTATTATTATCATTGAGAAAATTAATGAACCAGGAACCAGAACGGAAACGGAAAACAAAAGAAACTCAAAATCCATTTTCAATATACTAATTTCCGTCTCTCTCTCTCTCTTTCTTTTTTCTCTTTCTTTTTGCTTATCATCATCTCTTCCGCATCCGTCAATATTTACCGTTATTTTCTTGGTACCATTTCCAGGCTATTCACATACACCGATAACTGCGATGACGAAAACATCCTCATTGGATTCATATACTTATCCACACATCAGGAATATGCAAGGTAATTAACTTTAATCAGTCAACTGATTTAATCATAAAAAAAATTTACAGAAGCAAAAATCAAATTAAATTAATTGTAAGCAATTTCTATTGAATAATTTACAATCTAACTAAGTTTATCAAGTCAAGTTAATTGTTAGTGTAACGATTTCATTTAAGAGTTTTGATCAAAATCAATTTGAAATTGATACAAGTTAATATCTTTATTAGCCCTCAGGCTAATTACTGTCAACCTTTAAGATGAAGATGATGGCGTGTTGGTGACAATCAATTTCATGTCGAAATTTTTGAAATTTTTTCATCTCATTTTTGACAGAAATAAAAAAAAAACCTCAAAATTGTCCCACTTTGACACTTACAGGGTGGCAAAGTGGGAGTGAAACGGAAATAAATTGTCAACTTAATTTAATCATAATATTGTTGATGAAATGATTTGTGATTAAATAATGATAACAACAAATCCAACAGGGTAACAATTGGATTTACAAGTTGAAAGTTACAAATTTAAAATTTACCTTCAATCATTGACGATTTGATTTAATTGTCATTGATTGTGATTCAAATTTTTGAGACAATCAATTTCTCACAAATGTTAATAATTGTAACTAAATTTAGTTGAACACTTTTACTATTCCAATAATTGTTGATAATAATGATGAATGAATGGTAATTATTATTAGTGAATTAAATCAACAGTTGACAATTTATTTTGAGAAAAATATTAAATATGAACAAAGCTTAAGGAGAGACTAAGAATTAGATTGATGGATTGATGGTGATGAAGATGAGTAAAAAAAAGTGATGAGGATGCAAAGGAAGAGCCCAGTTAGGACCGGAAGGTTGTTGTTAAGTGTCTAAAGTGATAATATTGTGGGGAGTTAACTCCCCACCCGAATAAAAATATTAGATAATATTTATATACATAATATCAACTGTGTGTGTTTTATAACTATCCAAAGGATATCCCTTAGCATCAACTTCCTTCCCAATGTTATCCTATCAACTTCCGTAAATATTATTTTCAAGATCTTAGACAGAGAAAGAGAGATAGAAAGTGAGAGAGAGAGAGGGAGAGGTGAGGGTGGATTAGAATTAAGGAAAATACTAAAATAAGAGATGAGAGATGAAAGTGAAAGTGAAAGGGGTGAAAAACTGGGTGGTAAAGTTTTCGCCATCATTTGGAATCATGATTATCAGAATAGTCCATGAATTCCAATGGAACTTCAGATGTATAAGTTCATATATACTTTTCTCTTGAGATCTATAAGAATCTATTGGGTGGAGTGGGTGGTGATGAGAAGATGAAGAGGATCATCTAGATTTTCCACTTATATGTTTTCATTTTTGATTCTTGTTTCCTTAACTTCCGTTTTTCGTTACCCTCAAGATATGATGATGATGAAATTTGGTGGAAAAAAAATTCGAAATCAAATTTTCATGATGGAAAATTTTTCTCTCCAAACTTTTTGATTTTCACTTGATTTTCAGATTAATCAGTTTGCTGAACAATCACCAATAGAATGTTAAATTGTTCTTAATAGATCAGCTGATTATCTTTGATTCTCTGGTGAGTTAATTAACAATTTAATTCAATTGTGACTAACGAATTATTATCATTAGTTTATAACAATTAACTTTGATTAATTATCATCTCTTTTAATGTTTTTTTATTCTGTCTCTCTATTAACTTTTTTGTTAATTTAATGGTTGGGAAAATAAATTAAGTCAACAATTAAATTCTCAATCATTTTCTTTTCCTATATGATTGTGATAATTAATTGCGATTCTTTAATCTATATTTATATAAATATTAATCGTGATTCTTAGATTAACAATTAAGTTTAAATGGAAAAGATTTTTGGTTTAATAAGTTGAATCAAAATTCAGTGAGTTTGATATCATTGTTGATCAATATTTTGATTTGAATCATTGATTGATTGTTAGATTATGAAATTTGATTCTGGTGAGAAATCAAATTGATTCCAATTGATTAATATCAATAATGAGTAAATCATCAATCAAGAGTAAATAACAACAATGAAAAGCTACACACATAAAGACAGGATATTATGATGATCAGTTGACCAACTAATGTCTAATTCAATGGTAACCCTTTTGATTATTATTATGATTATTGCGTGGTCATTATCAATTAGATTGCTGGACAACCCGTTGAGGTCACTTTGATTTACAATTGAAGATGAGGATGAGGATGATAATATGAACAAGGAATGGAAATGTTATGCTCATGTCAATCGGTTCAATAGATTGAATTAATGGGAAAGAGATGATGATGTGGGGGAGAAGTGGGTGGGTCAGGGTGGACGAGGGAAGATGACATTTTGGGAAAGTCAAAGATGATGATGGTCAAGTCAAAGAGTAATAGTTTCAGCTTCTCTCTCTCTTTCTCTCTCTCTCTTTCTCTGTGACTTTGGGGTGTTAAAAGGATTTGTTGCTTTTTGAATTGACCAAAGGTCAGTTGTTGACTAGAAAGAATGATGATTGACCAAGAAAAGAAGATGTAAGGATAATGAATATAAAAGAATATAATTGAGATTAGAATTCGAAATTTTTTCTTCTCATTCTAAGATTAATCTTATTCTTTCATGATGATGATTATCATTGTTAATTGTGATTCCATTTACTCTGGTTATTAGGATCTCTCTCTCTCTCTTTAATGGCTTATTGATATTCTTATCATCTTGAGGTTTCTATTTGTTGATTATCATCATGTTCAGATGATGATAATGATGATTGGAAAGATATGTTTTCCACAATAATCTGATCACATGTTGGTCAAAAGATGCTTTTGACAATGTTGACCAACATGATAATGATGAATCTTATGAATTAGATAAACAGCTAAATTGATTGATCAAAATGGTAATCAGAATTACAATTGTTTACTTATCAATAAAGTTGATTAACTAATAAATCTCAGAAAATCATTAATTCTAATCATCTTGATAATATTTACATTGGACATTGGTAATCACAATCATGCTCATGATAATGAACTAAATTGTTGATTCTAAATTATCATTAAGGTGATTTTATCAACAAAATTAAAAAGGTACATGAATGACATAAATATATATTATCTAAGTGGTCAAGGAGAGATGAGGAAAGATGGACAATCGTCTTGTGTAAACAAAAGTATCAGTTGACCATCAGATTTGTAAGAGGTCAGTTAATGAAAGATAAATGAAAATCATGTTAACCAAATACAAGGAATTAGAGTTTATCTTTATCATTATTGTGATTAGATTTGATTGTGTTCAAGGATAATGATTAAAGGGATGCGGAGAGTTGAAAATGTCATCAAGAAGTAAATAAATATCGTAAAGATAAATAAATAGAATATAAAAAAAGGTCTTTGAGGTCAGTTTTGGTCAATTTATTTTCTTTCAGAATCTTCAGTCAACTATTCAGATTCCAATGAATGTTCAATATCGTTTTTTTTACTTTTGTTGTTCATTCAACATTCTGATCATTTTCAATCTCAATTCAATTGAAAGATGATGATGATGATGACAATCAGCATGATACAACATCTTCATCATCAATCGTATATGTATGAAGAAGATGAAGATAATGATCTATTTTTTTTTCGAAACTTTTACGAAAGATATTCTCCATTTCTATTCCTCTTGCCTCCCATAAAAGATGATGATAGGAGAGAGAGAGAGAGAAGATGATAATAAGAATGATTCTTTTTCTATCCTTTTCTCATCTTGTTCTTCATCTTCTTTTATCACAATTGAACAAAGAAGATGAAGATGATCATGATAAAGAATAGGAATGGAAGATAGAGAAAAAGAGAGAGAGAGAATTGTAGAGAGAGTCACATAAGAAACCGGAAACTAAGTCCATGTTTCGATTGTGTAGATGATGATGATGATCAGGGGGAGATGATGGTGGAGTGGAAAGAGGGTGATGAGGTTATTTCAGGGTGGGTAAAGTGCTCAGTCTACTGAATAGAGGGAGAGAGTCCATGTTTATGTAGCTCATCAATTTTGTCTCATTTTTTTTTGTTTCTCTTAATATTTATTACCATCTCTTCAGTTAGATGATGATAATGGTTAACATTGGGGGTGGAAAATCATGAAATTATCTGTCAGATCTGAACTTTTATCTCAATCTTTCATTAGATGCTAATGATTATTGTTGATTATTGATTCGAGTTCATTGTGTCTTCTTTTATCATCAAACTAATTGTGCCTCATTTTTGCTCTGTTTCCCTTAATCTTCAGATCCTTATCCATTTTTATCATCAAATGGACGACTTACAACTTCAGGTAAGATTTAGATAAGATAAAGATTAACTGGATTAGTTGAGGATTAATGGATTAATTTTTTCCACTTCAGGATCAGGACAAATTCAATTGTGGCAATTTTTACTTGAACTTTTAGATGATCCAACAGCCAAACAATGTATCATCTGGGATGGTAATGATGGTGAATTTAAATTAACTGATCCAGATGAGGTCGCCCGCCGGTGGGGTGAAAGGAAAAGTAAACCAAACATGAATTATGATAAACTGAGTCGTGCCCTCAGGTATTATTATGATAAAAATATAATGACCAAAGTCCACGGGAAAAGATATGCATACAAATTTGATTTCCAGGTAACGATTAACTTATCAACCATTATCATAAGTGTTTTATGAAAAGGCAATTAAATTGTCAAGAAAATTGTAAAACTATGATTATCATAATGTTTAATTTTCTCTCTGTTTTTTTGTTATTTATTTGATTTAATTATTTTCCAGGGATTAGCTCAAGCTAATCAACCCGCACCACCCGATCCATCAGCCTACAAGGCTTATCCATCAGCTGAATTTTTCATGCCTCCCCCTGGTTATCATCATCCAACCACCCCTAAGATTAACTTTGCCGCAGCCTCATTGACACCCTCCTCGGGAACCGGAAGTATCTTCAGTCCATCAACAACCTATTGGACCAGTCCAACCGCAGCCGCTGCAAACCTTTACTCAAATATTGCAGCGGCCTCACATCATGCAACAATGCCTCATCATCATCATCATCATCATCACCACCCCTCTCATGTTACACCTCATATTACATCTTACACACACTATGCATGATGATGATGCTCCCTCACTTCATCCTCATCTTTCATCCTCATCCTTCATCATCTTCATTCATATTGAGATGGTTAAAATATTACACACAAAACTTATGGAAACCACGAAAATCCCAAAGCAAAAGGTTAATCAAGTTAATCAGCAACAATTAAAAATAAACCAATTTGACAAATTAAAAAAAAACAAACCACAACCTTAATTGTAATCATTATGTTAGTTGATTGTTTGCATTTTTTAATCACAATTAATGCAAATCCAAATATTGATGTACAAGGATTTTAAAAACACAGATAATACAAAACTAAATTAAACAATCAATATTATTATTATTAACTTATTATTATCTCAATTAGTTTGATTGCTTTCATTTGATTGACGGTAAAATTTAATCTCAAAGATGATTAACTTAATCATTTGGATATATTGATTGGCTTTGATTATTTGATTACTTTTTCATTGGAAATATTCAATTAGATTTTGACTTTCATTTTGAGATTAATTGTTATTAATGACACAATTAATTGATGATGGTAAACATATTAATGCATTTAATTTGCTATTAGTTAACAATTTAAATAGTAACAATCTGATCCCTTGAGGGTTAATATGATATGATAATAAATAGAGGTAAACATTAGCAACGATTAAGCTTTAACCACACAAAAGTTTTATCACAATTTAATGTCAACCTTTAGATAGTAATTTAATTAGATTAACAATTAACTGGTTAAATAAACTGTTGATTGAAGTTGTTGATAATCAAGTGATCAAATTTTTCAAAGGCAATACTAACAATCACCAAAGGATTTGATTAAATTGTTAACGCGTGTTAAGGGCTTGGTTATTGGTCCCATTTGGATTAACGGAAGGTGATTAAGATTAGGATGAGGATGAAGATGAAGATAAAGATATGTTTTTTATTGTCATAATAACCGTTAAGAGGATTAATAACTCCCGAGGAGCAAAATTATTAAAACTATTCGGGATAAGTGATTAGGAGATTAGGTCAATAATGTAACAGTTTAACACTTTTTTAATTCCTTTTGGATTATCTATCAGATCTAAGATGATGATGATGATATTGATTTAGTGGTCAAAACTATTGATTGTTTGATACAATCAACTTGAATTGTAATCTTGACAATGGTAAAAAAGAAATGGATTAAATCAACTGTTAATATTGATTGGATTCATTTTTAATCATTTACAGCTTAAATATCATGAGATTATCAGGATAATCAGATGAGTTGATAGATTTGCTGATTTTTGTTTAAATCGTAAGAGAAAGAGATCAAATTGTAACAATTTAAGCAAACAAAACAATCAGAAAAAATAGGAAACGGATGTGAGAAAGAGAGAGAGAGAGAAAAAAAAATTCTGATAAATCTGAGATTTCCATGTGTCAGAATTTTATATAAATTGTGAAGAAAAAGACTTGAAATGATCATGATGACAATAGTAAAATGATCATTGGCGTTTTGATTGTGACTATGGTCAAGATTGATTGTTACAACAAAGAGACACCAATGTGAGCCTACAAATTGGTGAATGGACATTTGTCCATTTCAGCAAATAAAAAGTTTCATTGGAATAACCTTTCCATCCTCAAGAGCTGATAGAACTCAGAGATTTTTGAATCCGATTAACATGAAATTTATACAACAAGATGAATGTAAATTTATTATCCATCCAAGTGAAAATGTATCTTATCAATCAGATTAAAAGTGATAAACATGGAAACAGAATTGATGGTTTTTTTTTCATTCTTATCCGATCAGAGGTCAATCCAAGCGGATATATTGATGATATCTATGGGAAAATATTTACGCTCATTTGATAGTACAAAGGGCAAGCCTTTAATCGTTATCTTCCTCATCCTCGTCTCTCTCTCTCTCTCTCTCTCTCTCTCTCTCTTGTCATCTTTCCTCCTCCTTTTTGTCCTCTATTATGATCACTGTTTTCATCTTGTATCCATAATAATGTAACAATGTTATTATTTGAGATTCCCTGTAATATATATCTACATGTATGTTCATTGTTATTATTCATGTTATTTTAAAAACTTGCAAGTGGGTGAGTGGGTGGGAGGATGAGGAAGATAAAATTGATTACTCTGGGAATCAGTGAAAAGATGATGATGATTAACTTGACACAAAATGTATTGAAACAATCAGGTTATGTTATCATTTACATTGAGACATTTTCATGTAGTTTTATTTTTTACTCTCTCTCTCTCTCTCTCTCTTTCTCTTCATCAATTTATCTTTCCTTCATTCCATCATTATCATTATTTCTCATCTTCTCTATGATATATTAAATGACTATCAATACGGTAACTCACTCTTCTCCCTTTTTGTCTTCCTCATCATTTGCTTGCCTCTTTCATAATAATATCTTCATGACATTATAATACATTCAAAAAGGTATATCTGATTATCAGGATATTATTTTACATTGTCAAGATATAATTTCAATTCTTGCTCATGTCAGTGTAATAATAATGGTTATCATCATCATCCAAGTTTATTATCATCTAATGGTGCTCATCATCACCATTATCATCATTTACTCATCTTCATCTCTTTTTTTTCCTACTTTTCATTTAATTAAAGAGGAAAAATCAATGAACAATCAGATTCAAGCTTATTATCATCTTTAGGTGATACTAATACAAATGGTAATAATGATTAAATTGATGATCATGTTAACGATTTAAATGTCTATCATAAATCAAGCAAATAAATTGATTGTTAATTTTCGTGGTTCGATTATTATTATTACGAAATTTTTGTTTTCTTCTCGAGTTCTAATCTCTTTATTTTTACCGTTATGATTTTTACGGTGTCCAAACCGTAACTAAACTTACCGATTAAGTTTCAACAGTTTGTTAATTAACATTGAAACATTGTAATGGTTGATTAACATTATCAACGGTATTGATGATCATCTTCAAATTGATTGTAAATCATTTTTTTGTCTTGATTACTGATTTATTTTACATCTTGTTTGATACGCTTCTTAATCAACCTCATCATCTTCAATCCCTTGTTAATCCTAATGTGTGACAGCCAATTTAATGTATTAAAAGGTTCACCCACCCTCTAGACACCCACCTCGCCCTCCTCCTCCTAACAATCACCTCTCTATCTCTCTCTCCACCCTACTAAATATAAAACCCACTGAGGTCAAATCCTATTGACCTTGTTTGCTTTCAAAGTCTCTCAGCTTGATATCCAATTGAATTGATGAAACTAACAAATTTCAATTTGTAAGGTTGATTGTTAACTTGATTGTTGCAGTTGAACACAAATAATCAATTCATTTTGTTGGTGTTTTCTTTGCCTTTCCCTCTTTTGATTGTTATAACAATTTAATTTTCACCAAATGATTTAGATAAATCAGTTTCTTTTTCATTAAATATCAAATTCAATTCATGTAGGACTTTTCATCCAAATTTACTATTGATTTGGCTCCTTGATTGTTGATTAACATACATCAGAACAATTAAGTTTTACAAGCTAGATTTTTTTTTCATCCTCTATTTTTTTGTTCCTTGATTAGATTAACTTGATTAAGCTTAATCTCTTTGCTTATAACTGTGTAACAATAACAATCAAAATTAAAATAGCGAAAAAAAACCTCGTTAATTAAATGAAAAACTGTTAATCATTACATTGATAATCACAATCAATGAATCATAATAAACAAGGTGAAACTAAATCTAATCAAATAATAATTTGATTACCTTAAATATTTGATGAAACATTTTGATGTCATTATAAATCAGTGATGATTTAGTTTAAATTGTGACTTGGAGATTGTTAATTGTTGATTGAAGATTTCATATCATCATTATTAACAAGGATTTGACTTTGATTAACAACATATTCTTGTGTTAAAGGTAATAACAGTTAACTGATCATCAATTGATTAACTGTAACCAATTGGTATTAAGAGTCAATGATAATGATCAAGCCCTTTCATCAGGGATTTACATCATTGATACACTTTGATTATCAATTGAAATGATTACTATTAGATAGGGTTGTTGTTGTTGATGATGATTGTCATTCAATGATTAAATTGATTGCTCTCGTAATCCTTTTGCATCTTCATCCTCGTACAAATCAATGGATGAAAATTGGGATAACTTTTTTTTTGCTTTGATGCGTTTCCAGTTTTTATGCTGATGATTGCAAATGATTTTGTATTCAAGAGATTGGGATGATAATGATGCTAGAAATGATAAGAAGAAGATGTTACAATTGCAGGTTTATCTATGGATGATGATGATGATTGAAGATGAGGAGGAAAAAAGAGTTTCAATTGATGTAATACATTCATGATGATCATTCATCCTCATCAATTTCCATCCCGAGTGACATTTCTTCAATTAGCTTACACTAGTTTCTTTCAAAAATTTTATCATCTTCTCTTATCATCTTGTCTGTGAAATATTTTACTCACTATTCATCTGCATATCATGACAATTGACTGGAAATTCAATGAACTTCATCGCAACATTTCAACCCTATCTTCCTTTTTATCATCAATAATAACATTGAATCTGAGAGAACGAGAAGGAAAAAAAGAATCACCAATCATTAATATCCAAAGTAAATTGATTGTTGGTTGGGTTTCAAGTTCTGGTTTTCATGATACATGATTGCTCAAAATTCATTGGATAGAAAACTCTGATGAATCAGAGATGGAGATGATGATGGAGAATAAAAAAAGATACCAATTCCATTGAGAGATTAGTGTGATTATCTTGATTACTTTTCATTTCTAGAGCTACTTGGGCTTCTTTTGTGGTTCTCTCTCTCTCTCTCTCTCTCTCTCTCTCTCTCTAACCTCCCACTCCCACTCCCAACTTGTAGATGAAGATGTTGACAACCACTACAAGTGAGTCTTGTTTTAAGTGTTATCACCTCTTGAAGATGATGAAGATGAGGATGATAAAAAGTGGCCACTTTCCAACTACAAGTCTCCCTTTTTTAAGTGTAATAAAAAAGTTTACATTCAACTTTGTATCTTATTTTCATCTCCTCCATGTTAATATAATCAGTTGATAACCGTGGAGGAGAATGATGATTACCCACTGTGTGTATCTTCATCATCATCATCATCCTCCTCCTTTTTTACTCACATCGAATAGCATTAAATGTTGATTTCCCATGATAATTACACCTGAATGATGTGAATTGATTTCCATGTAAGTTTGAAAATTCAGAATCAAATTAGCATAAGATGTTGTATTTACACTCCCACTGGTTCATTATCTCAACTCTGTTTTCATATGTAATTAATTGAATTGTATCCATACAATCAAATTGATTTCATCTTTTACTTTCACTCCTATTGTATCCTAATCATCATCAATTGTGTTAAATTGGTAAAAAAAAGCAATATCTCTGATTTACTCAATCAATAAGATGATGATTAACTCACAATCAATTCTGATTATATATCATATCCCATTGATTGATTATATTGTAGTTGGAGTTTCCTTTTGTCCAGTTGATTAAGACAATCAAATGGTCATTCAACATACACATTGATTAACAATCAAATTGTTAATCAATTTATTAACCTTGTCTCGTTTTTTTTTGTCTTGTTAATTTTATCAAATGTTTTAAATTGCTCAATATTGATTGTTGATTGTTGTTAATACTTTTACAATTTAAAATGATTGGAAATGTTTCTTGTCAAACTAAATTAAATGCCGTTGGGCAATTAATTATCAATCAATTGATTGGTCAGTCTAACACCTTATCTTGTGTTTGTCTCTTTTCAAATATAAACTGACCAGTTAATGGACAATGAAAAAGCTTTACTTGTAATATTACAACAGAAAACAAAAGTACCGTTACTTTTATATTGACCAAAAGTGTAAAAACAAACAAAGTGACAATGTTGACATTTCCTTTATTGTTTACCAATGTAATATCTCACCCAACAATCTAATCTTTATCCTCTTCTATTAAACAACAATTAACAGTAATATAGGTGTAAACATCTTGATCATCATTATGATTAAGTAAATATTAATAGTAATTAAAAAAATTTTCTATAAAAACAAAATCCTATTGGAAAATTTTGTCCATTTCAAAATGATGTTTATTTCTGATGGAAAGTTTATATTAGATTCTCAGTTAATTGCTCAAATCGAGATGATCCATAACAATGATGTTCATATTCACTAATCAGGTATGATCGTTGGGGTGATGATGATGATGATGATTATTAGAGATGATTAGGAGATGGGGATAAAAAGCTACAAAAAAGGACAAAAGTTGAAAGAGGAATCAAGAGAAAAGCTAAATTGTGTTTAACCAGAAGATTTTTGTTTGATAACAATCAACTAAGTCAGTAAGTATAATAATAGGTCTCAATTTACCTGATGATGATCGGTAAAGATGAGAATGACAATTAAAGGGATGATCATCTTCATCAAAATGATGCTAAAAGCATATAACAAAAAATATTATATCCTCTCAATGTAAGTGTGCTGGATAACGTTTTTACCGCATGTGACCCAATAATGAGAGAGAGAGAGAGAGAGAGAGAGAGATGATAATGATGAGGATGAAGATATACAAACAGTTGATGATAACCTTATCCATTATACAAACAAAGTCATAAGATGAAGATTGGATTTCTCTTTGCATCATCTTCACTTGAAGATGATGAAAAAATTATCATCATTGGATAATAATAATACTAATCATCTTGAAACGTCATCATCAGATTTAATCGACTGGATTAAAATTTATTGGTTAAGAGAGCTAAAGGTTTAATCATCCTCATTGAATGAATGGCTTTAAATTGTGGTTCCATTAGAAGGACCTCTTAACCAGAAGTTACATCATAATCATCATCATTGGTTCCAGAATCTTGAAATCTGAATTATCTTCATGTTATCTTCGTGTGTTCATGACATTAAATTCTAGAGAATGGGAAGAGAAAAAAACTTTTTTTTGTCAAAAGTTTCGAAATAAAATAAACTCTTGTTGTCTATTTGATTTGTAACCTTTATTATTATTATCGAAGATTTTGAGTCACAAAATGATAAATTTCATCTTCTTCTTCATCATCATTTATTGTTATCAACATTTTCCACCTTCATCATCTTCAGAATTGTATTTTCTCCCCCTTTTCCTCTTCCATTTCTCTCTCTCTCTCTCTCTCTTCATCTTGACAAATATTTGATAAAAGGTAATATCATCTTCATCTTCATCAATGTGCTTGTCAAAATATTGATGAAGATGATAATGATGATAAGTTACAATAATAACCCGAGGCATCATTTTCATCATCATCATGAAAGAGGGTGTGGTTATGGTGGAGAAAGTGATTCCATTGAAAAATGAAGGTGTAAAAAAAGTGATGCGGATAAAATTGACATGCAGGTAAATTGTCATCTCCATCAAATGTTCAACTGTCAAAAAGTTAATTTTTTTCTTCATCAAATTTAAATTGTAATCATAAAGTTTTTCTTTATAAAAAGTTTTCATTAATTTCCTGTTTAATTTTGAGTAAAATGTTCATCAGAATATCAATTAATAATGTTACTAATTAAATTTGAAAGAGTCTGAAAAAATTAATCAAAATTACAATTCAATCAGACCAAAAAGTTGATGACAATCAATGATTGTTTAGCAACAACAATTAACTCTGAAAGGTAAAAACAAAACACTAAAATGTATCATTTCAATTGAAGTTTTGATTAGATTGTTTTTCTTTACCTTCAAGCTAATTGTTAATGATAAGATTTGAATTGTTATCCATTATGATCCGGAATTAAATTAAATGGTTAAATTGTTGATACTTTTCTTGTTGTTATATTAGAGTTAAGGTTGATCATCATCTTATTAGAGTTGATTGTTGACTTGATTGGGATGTGAATATCTTTATATACATGGGAATAGGAAGGAAACTCAGGTTTGCTTTCAAATGGTTGGAGCATCTTCATCATCATGGTGATGAAAAGATGCTTTTTTACAGTGTAAAAAAGGAGAGATGGTGATGATACTGTTGTTGTTGGTGATGATGAAGATGAAAAGGATGAAAATGATGAAAGAAAAAGTGAAATATAGGAATTCTGTTGCTTCCTTAAGAGGTCATAACATTTCCTTTACTAAACAAACTTCTTCCTATTCCCTTTTCCTCCTCCGTTTCCTTATCCTTTTTCCCTTCCCTCAGTTAAACTTGACCTTAAATCAGAATAATCATAATCAAATCGTAACAATTAAACCTTTAATCACAATTATTTACCAATCAACTAACTAATTGTCCCACAAAATGGAACCAAATTCTCATAATCCAAGTTGAATGTTCATCTTTTTCTCATCTCTTACTCGCTAATCGGATTAATCATGTTCGTAAACAAATTAAATCAATAAATTGTCAACTTGTGTCTATGATTAAAATTATGATGACGATGATGATTAGTTAATGATAATTATGATTATGGTAATGATTAGGTAGAAATTATGGTTTTCTCTTTTTCTATTCCCAAGTTTTTAGGTTAACTTTGAATCTAATGTATTAAGTTAGAGTTGATAACTTGATGAGAAGGCTTCGTCTTCTTCCGGTCTCTTTCTCTCTCTCTTTCTCTCATCCATCTTCCGGAAGTCAGTCCATTAGCTAACAGCCTTTCACAATGATATTTAGGTTCCAACATTATCTTTATGCTCTTTCTCATCATCATCATCATGGTTATTATGAATTCTATCTCTTTATTATTATTACTCTGTTTCCATGTTAAGCTTTTAATATTGTTGATCATCTTTCGAGCTCTTTTATTATCATCATCATCATTATCTTCATCTTCATCTTCTTAATCTTCCTATTTCATTTTCTATTGTTGTTGTTGTTTTTTTCCTCTCTTGTGTTAATGTTGAAACTAATTTGATTGTAATGAGAATCGCGAGTTAATTGTAAATATTCAAATTCACTGTTAATCTGATTGTTGATGAATTTTCTCTCTTTCTCTCATCCATCTTCCGGAAGTCAGTCCATTAGCTAACAGCCTTTCACAATGATATTTAGGTTCCAACATTATCTTTATGCTCTTTCTCATCATCATCATCATGGTTATTATGAATTCTATCTCTTTATTATTATTACTCTGTTTCCATGTTAAGCTTTTAATATTGTTGATCATCTTTCGAGCTCTTTTATTATCATCATCATCATTATCTTCATCTTCATCTTCTTAATCTTCCTATTTCATTTTCTATTGTTGTTGTTGTTTTTTTCCTCTCTTGTGTTAATGTTGAAACTAATTTGATTGTAATGAGAATCGCGAGTTAATTGTAAATATTCAAATTCACTGTTAATCTGATTGTTGATGAATTTTTCTCTCTTTCTCTTCATTATATTATTTTCATTCTCGATTCTGATTTACTTAATTGTCTTATGCTTTTTGTAAATTACTTTCTCTCTCTCTCTCTCTCTCTCTCTCTCTCTAGTTGGTTAAAATTGTCATTTTTAAATTGTAATCTTCATTGGAATTGTTAATTGTTATGTAACATTTATATTCTATCTCTTGTTATCTTTTTCCATTGGAAACAATGAATGAATATCTCATTTAATTAATGAGAATCTATTGTTAACCAAATTGAGTTAATTTATGTTTTCTATTAAAACTCAATGAGCTTTTTTCTTGTATCAACTTTCAACCCTTTTTGTTGAAAAACATTCATTTTCAGACTTAATTGTATTGTAATCATTTTATTTCACTTCGAGGTGATTAATTAATTATCTCTCTTCATGTTTATGTATGAGAATCATTTACTTGATTAATTAATCATTGATTGTTTCAAGTAATTTATGGCTTTTTTTGGGCTTTTGTTTGTTTTTTTTCCCGTTTTATTGGATTGATGTTAAAATTTGATTTATTATCAATTTTTTGATTGTTACCTTGATTGTTGGTCAGTTTGTAACGGTTTTTTTTTGTTTTCTTGGATAACAATTAGTGTAATTATAATACAATATGAATATTTTGATTTGAAAGTAGATCTTTTTGCTTCTGTGATTGATAATTATATTTATGTGTGTGTGTGTGTATGTATAAAAATAATGATGAATCTAAAAAGGGTGAGAGAAAAGGTAAAAATTTGATTAGTTGTAATTAAAAACAGTTTGAGTTTTATAGATGTGATTAGTTGATCAATGATTTAACTGGCTAATGATTGGGATTAAATCACAATAAGCTTAATGATTGCTCTGGGTCATCATCATCATCATCTTCTTCCTCTTCATCTAGAACGGCTTTTTCGATACTGTTAATTGTTGGTTCTCTTTTTACTCTCCTTCTCCTACGTGGCCAATCAATTTTTAAATTAGTATTTGATACTCTCCATTCTAGAAATATTTGATAATTATTCTTGATTGACCAATACACCCAACCAAAGTAAAAGGTCAACAGGATAGCACCAAATGCAAGAAGGAAAGAAGATTCTGTTAAATTTTGCCATTTAATTTGTATCATTGCTCCTTGGAAACAGAGTAAAGTCAACAGGGTTGCTATTGGTGTGAGAAAGGTAAAAAGTAACAGGTCACCAACTAAAGGTCGAGGAAAGGTGCGAACATACTGTGTGGAGATGGAGTTGAATAAAAAGAGAAAAGAAAATACATAATTAATTAACTATGGAAGAAAACTGATCATCGGAGGTAAAAACACACACAAAAAAAGAGGTTAAATGTATTAGGTGAGTTGTTGTGTTGTACAAATTGGGTTTTAACTTACATCACGAAATGTTGGTGTAACCTGAAGACATGGAATTGAGACACCACATAATTCACACTTGTTAAGCCTTGAAATGGTCAACCATCTTTCCAAACAGCTCTTGTGGACACCACCAATTGTACCATTACAATTACAAGGTTCAATTAACCCTTTCTGAGGTGTTCCTCGTTGGCAAATCCTACAAATGTTTTCCGGTGACATTTGAGCCATAGAAGAGCAATTACAGGATAACATGGCTTAGTTGCTACTGTGTAACAGAGACCAGGGCAGAGGAGAAGTATAAAGGTAACAGATGAGGGGTAGAGGAGGATTAAAAGAACAATTTGAAACAATCAACTAAATTGTTGTTTAATTGACAAATTAACGTTGGAGGGAAAAAAAAGTAAAAGAGAAAATAAAAGAAAGAACATAACTTGCGCCATCTACTGGCCACCGACAAAAAATTCCATAAACAGATGTTGATCCAATTTTCTAATTCTCATTTTTTTTGGCTTTTCTTTCAAATTTTAATTAGTAATTTGGTGATTGTTTTGTTTTTAATTAGTCATTTTTTGCTTGTTGAATTTGATTGTTGGAACATTTTCTCTTTTAATATCTTGCCAGTGTTTGGAAATTAATTGTAAGTATTAAAATTTTATTAACTTGATATTCGGTTGTTACTTTTAGTTAATCACGATTACACTTTGGTGAGACTTATTTATAAACAATTTTAACTTAATTGTTAAACTCTGATTATTTCATTGACTAATTTAGTTGATTAGACTGGTCATTGACTGATTAGGTATGTGATTAGACTGCGGTTGTTATGGTAGAAATTGGTGGTTTTCTAATAATTTCATCGCTATACAGCCGTGAAAATTGAGTTTGTGCTTTTTTTTAAATCATTTGCGCATCTTTGGCAAAAATTAACTTAATCACAACGATTGATTAGATAAATTTAACACTACCAACTCTACATTTTTATCTATTAATTTGCTTTTATCAATCAAGATGCTCAAATGAATAAAATAAAAAGCACAAACTCAATTTTCACGGCTGTATGTTTGGGTAAATGCAAGTGAAGAAAATGTGAATTTTGTCCTTGTTTAATAATCGTGATCAATGTGATTGTAATGATTAAATTTCAATTCAGGTTCTTTGATGATTTAATTGCAATATTTCAAGTCATTGATATTAACATTTCTTTGTTTTATCCTCTTTAATAGGGTTTTATATTCACGCTGATATTTTGAACTGTTTTCCTTTTGTCCAGTTAATTTAAGATTGATCATCATGTCTATTGGTATTCCAATTAAAATTTTACATGAAGCTGAAGGACATGTAATAACTGTAGAGACAACAAATGGTGAAGTTTTCAGAGGTAAACTACTAGAAGCAGAGGATAACATGAATGTAATGATGGCCCAAATTACTGCAACTTCTCGTGATGGTAAAGTGACTAGTTTGGAGAATATTTTTATTCGAGGATCAAAGATTCGTTTTCTAATTCTGCCTGACATGTTGAAAAATGCTCCGATGTTTAAAAAGATGGGATCTAAACCCGGGGTGAAGACAAATGTTACGGTGAGAGGTAAAAACGCTCTGTTAAAAGCACAAGTAGCTCGTGGTCGAGGAAGAGCAAGGGTTATGATGGCTAAACGAGGACCATAAACAACAAATCCATCAATCAATTTACTGATCTTACAAAAAGTTCGCGTAAACATTTTGTCAACTTAATGTATTGATAATTCTCTGAACTTTTTACAATTCCTGTATTACAATTTTCGTTTAGATTTTATTACTGATCTTACCGAAAATCATTGATTCCAATATTTGGAGCTTTGACAATTTAACCGATAATCTGATCTCAAGATACTAAATTGGATCTCTCATCGATTCAATGTGTTACTCTGAGGAAAAGTTGACAGTTATAATCAATCAAATCTGTAAACCCAAATAAATTGAAACTTTAACGTAAAATAATTCGCAAAATTTTCACTAACTCACTTGAATTTTCTCAGAAATGATCAATTCTGTTAAGAAAATATGAAAGAATATATAACACTATTTACCCAAGGAAAATAATTTTAATATAAATTCTAAAAAGTGTTTATATTAGATTAATTAATTAGTGTTTCTTTGCAGCTTTTGCTTCTAATTTTGCTGCTAAGATCGCATCGTATTTGCTTTTACTGCTAAACCAGAGGTAGAAAGGAATAACCAATGTTGGCATAGACATGACAGCAAATGCAAACCAATCAAGCTGTAGAAAAGAGATGGAGATGAAAAAAAGAAAATAAATTAGAAATCAGGAAATGGAAATGGAAATGAAAATAAAAATAGAAGAAGAGATTTGAAGAGGTTTTTCTTTCTTCAATGATAACAAAAATTGAGAATATGATACTTACGATATGAGGTGAGAATCTTCGGTCGAATTCTTTAAGTGATACAATATAACCTTCACCAGGTTCACTTGTGAATCCAATTTGAACATCTTGTGATTCCTCTCGGGGTAAATAATTTACCTCAGCAGAAGTGAAATTGAATTGACCCCATACACCAGTTTTTGGACGGTAGACAACAGTATGAGAGACATTAGAGTTTGCTGCTATCCTGGGAATAGTGAATGAGCTTAAACCACTGACCACTTGGAAATATTCCTCAGGTAAGTTCGCATCTTTGATGGTTACATCAACAGCAGCACTAAAGAAGAAAAAAAAAGTTAATGTTAGAATTGAAATTTTGTTATTGACAGAAAATTCATCATTCTAATGTATTCTCTGGCCTCGTTTCTTAAACCATCAACGGACAAGAATAAACTTAATTGTTACAATTATCAATATACTAACCTTTCACCGACATTGTGAATATTATAGCTGATAATTAAATCTTTACTTTCAACTAAGTATTTATTGAGAACCTTTTTCTCAATCAAAAGCCGGGCTCCTGATGGAGTAGCTTCTCCTTCAGCTTGACACAAGGTAACAAACAAAAGTGTCACAAAGACAATGATGAATCTCATTTTGATAAATTATGACAAAAAGATTTTAGCCTGAAGAAGGGAACAAAACAGTTAATTAAGATAAATAAAAATTGAAAAAGAAAAGAGAACAATTAAAACCAATATAATTACCGTAATCAAATTAAACTCCAAACAAAAATCTCCACGTTACCAAATTTCATACAATCGGAAAATAGAAAATCACCACTTCGATTGTCGCGACATCTGTTGACTGAGAAAAGAAAATTCAACTTGGGAGTTTTTTTTGAGTTTCTATCATTTCTGAGAAGTGAAATTTTAAAATTCAATACTTTGCGATTTTTATGATTTAATTGATTGTTGTGTTGGATATACAAAATTTAAATCTCTCTAATTACCTGGAATTGGTAATTTGTAAGTGTTGTGTTTTATCTTGTATAGGAAATTTTTAATTTCCTTTGTGAGTTATTTGGTTTACTTGATTGGATTTAGAAAAAGAGTTTTAGATTTAGAAGAGAAACAATTTTCATTTGATTAACCAATCATTTTAATTACAGTTGTAAAAACTGGTCAAGTATGAATTTACTTGATTGATGGATTTGTTGTTTATGGTCCTCGTTTAGCCATCATAACCCTTGCTCTTCCTCGACCACGAGCTACTTGTGCTTTTAACAGAGCGTTTTTACCTCTCACCGTAACATTTGTCTTCACCCCGGGTTTAGATCCCATCTTTTTAAACATCGGAGCATTTTTCAACATGTCAGGCAGAATTAGAAAACGAATCTTTGATCCTCGAATAAAAATATTCTCCAAACTGGTCACTTTACCATCACGAGAAGTTGCAGTAATTTGGGCCATCATTACATTCATGTTATCCTCTGCTTCTAGTAGTTTACCTCTGAAAACTTCACCATTTGTTGTCTCTACAGTTATTACATGTCCTTCAGCTTCATGTAAAATTTTAATTGGAATACCAATAGACATGATGATCAATCTTAAATTAACTGGACAAAAAGAGTACAAATCAAATAAACAACAAAACAAAATCCAATTATCAAGAGAAATATAAACAACAAACCTACAATGCACAAAGAGATGAAATGAAAAGAGAAAAGATCAATTAAATAGATAAGTGACAGTTAATGAAATACATTCAAAGGTGATCACGACCTTTAAATTAATAGAAAAACAATCTAAAACAATTTGAAAAGATTAAATTACTTACCTAATTACGATGGTTTTATCCAAAGAAAATTAAATTGATTCTTTGTCAAAATAGGAAAAAATATCTACCGATTTAGTTTTATGTTCCAACCGACAGATGGCACCAGGAGAAAAGAAAAAAATAATTGAATATAAAACGAATTAAATTTGAGATTTTTAATAATTAATAAGATTTTCAACTGAATTAATTTCTTTAATTTGAACGATTTCTTGTTTCGATAGTAAAAAGTGAATAGAATATCTTGAATTTGATTGTGAATTGTTCGATTGGATGATGAATTGAAAGTAGGAAGAAGAAAAGAATTGGCGGTTCAATATCGTTCTTTAAGTGTTTTCATTTCTTTGATTGTTTACATTGATTATTTTTCTTTAATTTTCATCTCTAATTAATCTAATACTGCGAATTAATTGACTCATCTCATCTCAAGGACATCTTCAATTGAGAACATCTTCTAAATTCTAATGGTAAGTTGATTAATCTTTTAATTTTATCCATCAATTAATCTAAACTTTTACTCTCTTTCAAATTCCAAGCCTATATAGTTAAATATACGTTTAGAATTGTGATTATCATCTTAACAATAATTTCCAAGTAAAATTTTCTAATTCTATTCAATTTGACAATCATAGATTCACCCTGATCACCAATATCACAATACATGGAGATGATTGACATTTTTATGGATAAAGTCACTTGAAGTTAAATGTAAACAATTGGAAAAAAAATATTCCCTCTTTTAATAATAGTAACAGTGTTGGTCTATGTTATTATTAATAAGCTGATAATCTAAGGAGATTAAATATTATCCAATTAAGAGGAGATGAGATGAAAATCTTAACCGAATCAATATGTTATCTTATTTTATTTGGAGGTGAATTTAGGTTAACCAAAGATGAAAGCAAATGAAGTGAATTCAACATTGTCAATAGTTAAACAGCTTCTGGCAACAATCAAAAGTGAACAATAATCTAATTTTATCTTCTCATCAATTATTAATCTTCTATTGATTAATATTATATAATTACAAAAGTTATATCACAATAATTACAAAGTGATGATTGTATTTCCTATGTTAACGTTTTTTTCACTCTGTTAACATGCTGCAGTTTCATGGTTTTCAATGAAAAAAAACTTTGGCAGCAATCAAAAAGCTTAATTGTAAAAATTAAGCTTGATAACTCTCAAAATAGCAACAACTTGATCGATAGTAACTTTTACATCAATTGATCTCTAATGAATTGGATTACACAAACCATTGGACAATTTAATTGATTTAATATTTCAACTCTAACCACTTTGAGGAAGGCAATTTTCATCATCCTAATGATAATCTTGTTGAATGTTAACCACTTAGAACGTGATTATCTTAATCATAATTTCATAATTATTTACCATAATTACTAACCACCTTCACATGAATTCTTATAACCATAGTGATTACCAGTTAACATGAATCGATCGATTTGGAATCAGCAAAATTGTCCACTGGAAAGAAGAATCAATTTAACTGATCACTCAGCTGGTAGATGATTAAACCTCATGATGTTGTTTTCTTTTCATGATCAACTGATGATAAGAAACAACTTTAAAAAATCAAATGAAATTTTCTTACATAACAACCTGATGATCATGAGAAAATCTTAATCATGGAATGAAAATTTGCAGCATCAATCTACGGAATAGAAATGGTTAAACCTTCAATTCTCTCCAACAATTACCAGGGAGATGAAATTTGGTGGTTAATCATCAAACATAATCACAGTGAAAATCTCATGATAAAATTAAGAAACTTTTAATCACCATGAGCTTTGATTAACTAAACAAGTTTTAATCACTTTCATCATCTTGTAATCATAAACAAGCCACTGGACCTTTGAAGGTAATCTACTAATTTGGTTACTATGTTTACTCATAATCTTGGAAGTTAATCAAGGACAGAAACAGTTTTATTTATAATCATGATTTAACTTTTATATTTACAACAATTAACGAAGATATTTAAGAATGACCTGCCTCTCACCTTACTCTCTCCGCCTCCCACTTTTCTCAATCATTTATTGTGTCTCTTCACTAATTAACTAATGATTTTCTAATTGTTTTCAGTTAATCATCTCTATCATTTACCTTCCTGATTGGTTTGTTTCATTTAATTGTTACGAGATAAACGTTAAGAGCAAAGTTATTGATGATGGTGATAATGATAACTAGAAAGTAAACAATTAAAGACAACAACGATTAAAAACACCAACACAATTAACTAATTTTCAAGAAAAATACAAAAAAAAAGTTGATTCAATTGTGTAAACGTTTAACTATTTTCATGTTTTTCAAGTGAAACATTTTTTAAACTTGACCAACAATCAAAGTTAATTGTTCATCTTTTAATCAACTATTCTCCACCATCAATTGGGTACTAATTGTTTTCCACCAACAATCAATTCAATCCACAATCTTTTCATAAGGTAAGCTAATCAATTTCAATTCACTTTAACTAATCAACCATAATAAACAGAAGCAAATCTAAATAATAGAAACTGTGATTAAATGAACAACAATCAACTATTAACTGACTCAATTCAAGTGTCCATTAATTGTTTGATCATTTGTCCATCGAAAGTGTTACAATGTATGTTTTACCCTAAACATAAATTGTAATGTCTTTATATTGTTGCTAAATTGCTCGTAATTTACATGAGGACACACTCACTTACATAGACACATGATGAAACTAAATTAAAGTTGATGAAATAAAAGCTCGTGGGAAATATGATTAAAAATGAATTGTGATTAACTGATCAACTGAGAGAAAATAATTTGTTCCCATTTAAAGTGAAGAGACAATAATCCGCCCCACTAACCCACCCAATGGATCATCCAATTGTTTCCCCAGTAAACATTAAACCATCGGTATCATTAGAAAGGCCAAAATAAAGGTCAGAATCATCTCCCTCTCATCATCATCATCAACAACAACAACATTAACTTGATCACTTTGATGAAGAAAAAAATATGTCACTGATCATCTCACTGGTTTAATGTTAAAAAGGCAACTTGATTTGGTCCATTGGTTTCATTTAGATGATACTGAAAGGAGCGAGTGTCACACTCACCCACTCCCTCCACCCTCGTCTTTTATCATCTCTCTTTCTCTCGGATGATAAATGATTTCTCTTTCTTTTCGTGCTTGTTGATACAATGTCGGTGAATTGACTTGAAAGGATGAAGATGATGTGAAATGTTTACATTTAACATCAACTTGAAAAGAGCTACAAATGATGAGAAGATGAGGAAGACAATAATCTCATCATCATCATCATCATCTCTCTCTCTCTCTCTTCCATGTCCACTTGTTTGGGCGGAGTAACTATTAATTTCGCATCCATTTTAAAATTGTATTGTCATCAATTTCTGTTGAATTGTCATTTTTACTATTGGTAAATGATCGCAATCAATTTAATTGTTGTGATGTATTTATGCTTGTATTCACTGTTCCACGACAATCTAATATACTTTTGACAATTTCTTAATTGAACAATCAATTTTCAGCTTGAACCGTTGAATTGATATAATAATTTATTTTAATATCCGAAATTATTGATTCCTTAATTCTGATTACAGTTTAATTATTATTAATATTTTATAATGATAAAAAATTAAAAACAACCATGATAAATGATTTACATATTTTATGATTTGGCACTAATTATTTTTGTCTAATTGATGATGATTATCAATATGTTACAATATTTTGTTATGATAAATATATTTGGACATAGTTTCAATTGAAGCTAAATTGTTGTATTTACTTCCGAGGCACATTTCATATTGATTACCATGTAATCCATTTGGACAATCAGTTTGATGAAATATATGAATTAATCCAGAATCGGGTGATCTAAATATAGTTAAATTTGATTGTACAAGTCTCTCATATAAATCAACATCTTCCTTACCCCAACCTTGAATGGATAAATTCAATCCATTGTTATTAATTAAATCACTATTATAAATTGATACAATTCCAAATCCGAATTGCCTCCAATAACCATGAACTGAATCAATGATTATATTATTGTCATTATTATGATAATCAGAGTGTTGATCGAAATTAAAATCAATATCAAATTGATTATCATATTGACTGTAAACTATTGGATAATAAACTTGTTTACCTTGAATGGTATTAAGTCTTACCCTTTCGATAGCATTTAAATTAAATGTTATATCAATGTCGACGAAAAATAGTAAATCATTTGATTTAAATAGACTTGCACCTCGTTGAAGTCCAGCGGCTCTTGAAAAGTGACCACCAAGTTCAGCGAATCGTATTGGTAAACCTGAATTCATCAAGTTAATTATGATTGTTTTCATTTGAATTGAGACATTTCTTGTATCAATTACATCGGGAAATAAAATGAATGCAAGGTTAACATTAGAATCCTTTTTGTTAACTCGGATAAAGTTATTGATAAATCGTTGAAACTGTTTGAATCGTCCAGAAAGTGGGACAATTATGTTGACAGTTATTGATTCCAATGGTTGTGATGATGATTTAATTTCCTTGAAAATTGGATTAGAAAATGTTTGCATGATGTAAGTGTGCTTTCGAACAGGTAAAGTGTATTTCCGTCCCTTGTATCGACGATAGGTCATCAATAGATCAAGAATATAATAAACTCCTTTCGATGGATCTAATTTGGTGTAACCATAATAAAGCGATTTAAAATCAACAATTCGACCACGAAAATGAGAACCTTTGTTAATTGTATTGACAATGTTGATCAAATTTGATTCCAAGGCAGGTATTAGTGATCCATCGATTCGTCTTCGAGGATTTGAATTTTTAACTGAATATTGATATCGATCAATAAAATCCCAAGTAATTAGATCGGATCGATGTAAACATTGATCTTTTGATTTGGGTGTTAATTCAATCGGTGTTCCTATTGAATTTGTATCTCCATGAACCAGTGGATCGAGTGGAAGATTAAATTGTCTCTCAATCAGATCACCATAATTATGTTCAACATTTCGTAGATCTCGGTGATTCTTAGTTATTTCAAATCTTATATTTTCATGATCAATTTGCATCATATGATAATAAATATCATAAAGTGTTGATGAATTTTTAACCGGGTGTAAGGTTAAAGCGGTTTTCAGTATTTTCCTTAAACGATTGGACCAAACAATTTGACCGGAAAAATTGTGATACAAAAGTGATTGCATTTGATAGGATCGAGTACAGGGTAACCCGACAAAGGTACCAACACATCGGGATATTTCAACGTCCTCATGGGTTGAGTAAAGGTGTTTAAGACAATATTCAATGTGAGGAATCATCGATCTCAATGTTGCCGAACTCATTATGATACCTGGTCCACCCATACAGAAATTGTCATCATCACCTAATCCTAATTGTCCGAGTTCCTCAATTTTACCCAATCCCATTTGTCCAATTAGATGAGGTTTCGATGAATTTACTGAGCCAAGAAATTGAATCAATTTGTCTACATTGATGAAAATATCATCATCGGCTCTCATGAACCATTCATATGAATCAATGAAATGATCATGGATAAATTTTAACATGAGAAATGATTTCTTTTGAGGTGGATAGGAATCATCAACTGTTGGTAAATTGATCACTGGTAATCCATGATTGTCTTTAGATGATGAGCTTGAAAAGAAGGCGATAAAATCCTTAGCATCTTGTCCCCATGTTTCCATGATGTGATTGATCCGATAATCAATGAATTTCTGTGCTGTCATTACACCGATAAACAATTTACGTTTATTACCATCATCAGTTGGCCTTCGTAGGCTTTCAATTAATGGTAATAGTGATTCGTATGATTGATCCAAATTAGAATTAACTTGATGATTTGGTGATGATGATGATGACACTTTACCTTCATCACATTTCTGGTTAACAGTTACTTTCTCATTCCTTTGGAAATATAAACAAAGGGTTAGACTTGCGATGAAAGAAATTAAGAAATGTAGGTAACTCTTGTATGGACCATGAGGTGAACACAATAAATAATTAAAACGAAATCTCATAATGTTAGAAATTAATGAGAATTAGAAGAGAAAAAATTCAATTCTGTCAATGCAAATGAAGAAAAGAAAAACAATAAGTTCCACAAATAGAACAAAAAAAAAGTAAAAGAGAACAAAAAACAAGTACAAACCTTTTCTTTTCTAAGGTGAAAACACAATTAACTCTTTCTCTTAATCATAATAGACCAATAATCTCAACTAATTAAGAAAAGAAACAATCAACAATTAATGAAGATCCACCAGAAAGAAACATTTCTTATTTATAGAAACACATGGAAAGAAAGTAAATTGTTTTCCATTAATTATTCCAATTAAATTGATCTTGTCAAGATAATCTGATTAGTCCATTTGGACTCACAATTAGAAACATTTGATGGAAAGACATTCAACTGATTTAATAAGAAAATTGATTTAATTGAGAAAATGTTGATTCCAATTAACCTCAATATTTAAGTGTCTCTGTTTTAACTCAAACACAAATGACACAAGAGAAACAAAAGAAAGAGAAAAATGGATTAGTCTTTCTTTTTCCTTCTCTTCTCTTTTTTTATCTTAATATTGTTTAATTTTCTAATTAAGATACTTTTCGAGTGACAATTGACTTAATTGTTTGAAAATTTACTTTAATGATAGTTTATTTTAGTTACATTGCAACTTTACAATCAAAAAAAATACAATTAAGTAACAAAAAACAAACAAATATCATTATTGCTAATTGGGAAAATTTTACAAATGCAAATGGTTGATTGGGATAACTAATGTAGTTGATTGATCAAATTGTTTGACAATTTGAGTTTACAATTCGTTAAGTATTATTAGAATACAATTTTTAGAGGTTTGAGCAATTAGTTGATTACGCTGATCTGATGACATATCTACCCAAAAGCAGCATCGCCATTGAAGAGATGATGAAAAGACTGACTGGTAAACTTGATTTCTTGAGATAATCCAATCGCTTAATCTTTGGACTTTTGTTTTGTGTCCATCCCATTGACCTTACAACAGCTTTGTGCCATGTGTTCAGCATTTTGTGACGGACTTGCAGATCGATCTTGGGCTGGATTAGTGGAAGAAAAATCAAAAATACAGATTAGAGGAAAGAGGAAAGAGAAGACAAGATAAGATTAACTAGATTCTAATGATTTCCTCAGTATTTAGTAGTTATCCTCAAGTAGTGATTCGGACATATGCTTATCTACGAAATTTAAATCATCATTGGAAATTAGAATTTAAAGAAAAAAAAGTCAAAACAATTGACTTGATTGTCGTACTTTGAAAATGGATGAATTGGGATATAGCATTGAATCGTCAATAGAAGATCTTGTTAGGGAATAATTTCGATCTCTAAATTTTGGTTCGGATTTGATTTGTTGATCATTTAGATTCGAAATTAATGGTGACCCATTGACATTATTCATATTATCAAGTGTATTCTCAACTTGAAGTGTTCCTTTTCAAAGTCCCAAAGACCAAGAGTGTGGCCTGAAATCATGGCGCATCCTAATGCGGTCGCTTCAATTTTTGCAGGTCTCACAACTTTAACATTATTGAGATCAGAAATTATTTGGCACAAAGTATCATTTGCGGCCATTCCTCCGTCAACCTTTAATCCTGAACGCGGAGGTTTCATTAGAGCTAAAATATCGGTCGTTTGGAAAGCGACACTTTCCAACATCGCTCGTACCAAGTGAGATTTTTGAGTAAATTGAGAGACCAATGAACAAACCGCTTGCATTAAGATCCCAGTAAGGTGCAAATAGACCTTGAAAAGCGGGTACAAAATAAACTCCACCAGAATCTTCAACTTGATTTGCTAAACTTTCGATTTCATTGAAATCATTAATTAAACCAATATTGTCCCGAAGCCAAACCATTGAGGCACCAACCACAGCAATACTGCCTTCCAATGCATAAACAGCGGGTTTTCCATCAATTTTGTAGGCCACCGTTAATATTAGTGACTTTCTAGCTTCAGCTGAAACTCCGCTCAGAACTTTTTTCACCGAAAGTGAGCCTAAATTTTGTAAAATGAAACATCCAGTTCCATAAGTACTTTTAATCTGACCAGGAGAGAGACATTGGTGACCCACTAAAGCTGAATGCTGATCACCAATAACCTAAAGCAATTTAAGAAAAATATGACAATTAGAATCACAAAATCACAAAAATGAAATCAATCAACTTACACCAGTGACAGGAATCCCTTGTAAAGAACCAGATTTGATTAAACCAAAGTGTGATGCCGATGATTGTATTTTAGGTAAAATTGATACCGGAATCTTGAATACTTTTCTGTTGTAACAATTAACAGATAAAAAACGGATATTAGTAAAATGCAAATAATCAATCAAAAAGTATGAAAGGTTAAATTTGATTTTGTTTGTTCAACTTGCTCAGAATTAATGTTCGACATCATGATGTATCAGCCATATGCTTTGTCTCAATTTTGTCATTAAATCATCACAGGAAATTGAAGGTAAACATAATCTTGATTAACAATTTAAACTACTCACTCGCAAAGATAATGATCCCACTCAAGTGTCTCAATGTTCATAAGGAAAGTTCGACTCGCATTAGTAACATCAGTTGAATGGACACCACAGAGATTCCAGAGTAGCCATGAATCAATTGTTCCAATGAGTAATCGACCATTTTCTAAGGCTTCTTTTACCGAGGGTACATTTTCAAGAAGCCATTTTACTTTGAAAGCGGTGAAATATGTCGAGATCGGTAATCCAGTTAATTCCTATGATTAAAGATTAAAGATTATATGTATGCTCATTATATGGAGATTAAAGATTGAGAGATTAATTTACCTTGTAGAAATTGAAATCACGATTAGGAGTTTGATCGAGAAAATCGTCGACAATTTGACGGGTCCTTCCATCAGACCAAATGATCGCATTATGAAAAGGTTGACCAGTTTCCCGATCCCAGGCTATTGTCGATTCCCGTTGATTGGTGATTCCAATACCTTTGGGGAGGGAAGGTCGAGAAAAATAATTAAACAAATTGTTCAAATTGCTCTCATTGGTTGAATTTTTTAATTATTTCCTTGTCCATGGGAGAGAAATGGTTTGGTTAGTTAGTAAAATGTTGAGCAATCAAGACTAAATTAATTGGAATTGTGCAAGTTAATACACAGAGAAGATGAAACAATTATGATAAGCTTGATTGATCCAGTAAATTGCTTAATAATCAATCTATTACTGATTAAATTTTTTTGCCCTTCAATAACTTGTTTACACCTTGATTTAATTCCCCTGATGAGATAACTCAATTTTCTTATGACAAAGTTCATTATACAATTAGGAAAATTAGGTTATCATATCTATTAATAATTCTGATTAATATTTACAGAAAGAGAAAATTGAAGAAATAACTTAATTCATGGATCGATTTATGATTAGATTTGAATCATTAATCATAGTTTGACATTTACATGAGAAGATAAAACAAATTAACTTGAGATGTGAGAAAATGATTAGTAAATTATTTTCGCTATGAGATTTTTTTTTGATTGAAAAAAAAACTTACCTTTAATTGAACTTGGATCAATATTCAATCTTTTCAATTCTTCTATTGTTTTCTCAATGGAATCGTTGACAATTTTCAGAATATGGAAACAATCTTGTTCAACCCATTCTTGTTTAGGATAAATTGGTTTCGTGTTTAATTGATGATGAGCAATTAACTCTCCGGATGTAGCACTGTAAACCATAAAACGAGCACTAGAAGTACCACAATCAATTGATCCGATTAACGGTCCAACATCGCGACCCATTTTTGCGATCAAACTAATTTGACTCTAATTGTGTATTTAAATGAAGATGTCCAGGTAAATTGTAACCAATTATGGTGTAAAACTAAGGGAGAGAAAGGGAAAAATTAAGTAGGAAAATATTTTGATCAGATTTTGTTGAAAGTTGAACAATCAATGAGGTTGATTCAAGATGGAAACTGGACAAGATACTTGAGGAAAGTAACTTAGAACCTTCAATTTGGTTGATTAATCAAGTTTTCCGAATTGCTTATAATAAGAGAAATTATTTATCAAATTTGAAAGGAAATTAAAACAGTCACATATAAAGGTAATTGTAATATGATTAACATTGAATGATTAACTATCAAGAATACAAACCTTTATATTAGTCGCCATCTATTGTTGATTGATCATCGTTAGAAAATAAATTATATTCTATCATTAACATAATTATAGTTGATGGGAAAAAAAATCAATAACTCTTGTGACATCTAATTTGAACATTGAACAAAAAACCCAGGTACATATTGATCAAGGTAACAATTAACTGAAAGCAAAGTCTGAGTGCAATTAACATCAAGTTAATACAAGTAACCTTAATGTACGAAGACTTTGACCAGCACTTGAATGAATCAGAACCTGCAAACAATTCAAATGAGATAACAACAGAGACTTTGAGTTAACTATCATCAAAAAAAGTAAAAATCAAACCTTAACAATTAGTAAATCATAATTAACCAACAAAAAAGAATAAGAAAAAAAAACCAAATAGGATAAGCACATTGGCTCTTAAAGAAGTGAACAAAAGGACAATTAAGAGAACATGAAACTCACCTTAAGAAAAGTCATGATTAATCCAAATTAATCACCATCAGTAAATCGAGTGTAAGTTAATCAACATTAAATGAAAATTGTAAAAAGACAATCAACTGCAATTAACTGAAAAAGGAAATTAAATTAACCAGGAAATTTACTTTTCCTCAAACAAAAGGAACCACATTGGTAACACATGAGTCACATGTTCTTTCGGGGGACCAACTACTAATTACAGAGAATCGAAATTCTAAATTCACCTTGAAGAGTTTTTTCAATTTCTATTCTTAATTAAATTGTTCCAATTAATCTCACCTTTGATTTTAATTAATTTTTCTTTTTTCAATCTCAACAATTTATCTTGTAATCAATTTAAATCACGATTCTTAATCATAATTGATCGCTTAGCAACATACACATGGTTTGTTTCCTTGACTTTGCCAATGTGTCAAAATACAAATTTAATTGTTTCAATTAGTGATTAATGATTTTTATTTTGTTAAAGGAAATTTGTTTCTAATTACAATGGTTTAAATTACCTCTTGATTATCAAATGGAATTAGTGTTTCATTCATCTGTCTGAGACATTGAAATTGTTTCTATTGATGCCAAAGGAATAACATTTTCTTTGTTTATCTCTGAGAATTTGTAATGTTAATCAACCTTTTCTTTTCAATTTTGATTGTGTTTAAATGTTAACAATTTACTGATTGTTTAGTTTAACTTTAGTGTTTTGTTCTTTACTCTTTTTGGTTGATTTAATTAAAATTATTGAGTTTCTTCCTCCGGTTAGTTTATTTCCCACCATTGAACCTCTTTCCTTTTCTATGTTTTCATTTTCTCTTCTTGTTGAGAGATTTTTTTTCTTTGTTTACATTTTTTTTCTTGATGTGAAAATAATTTGATTCTAATTGATTCTAATTGATTATTTTGATTTATTCTTTTTTTGCTTCTTTATTACAGATAATTGAAGGTCAGTGTAATTGGACACCAAGAGAATCAAAGATGACTTGTAAACCACAACTTATGGTGAGTGTTGACCGATTCTCGTTTTCCGGTTGACCTTTTTACTAGATTTTGAACCTTCGTTTGAAATGATGAATTTGTTTGATTAATCATTCGTTTTTTGTTTCTATTTGGCTTTTTTATAGAGTAAATTCATGTCAGGATTGACTATTGCTCTTGGTGGAGGTGCTGGTTTTGTGGCGATTAATTTATACAAAGGAAATGAAAAATTCTACAATTCTTTCGTTATGCCGATTCTTCATGCAACAGTTGATGGCGAATCATCTCATCGATTAGCAATCAACATGGCGAAATATTCATTTCTGCCTAATTTTAGTTCTAAAACATCTGAACATAAAAATTTGGTAAATTCTCCTTTAAATTCGTTCTTTAAATCCGTTCTGCTTATCAATGTATTACTATTCTAATCTTATTTCGATGAACGTTTTCTTTGTTTTTCTTTTATATTTCTTTAGAAATCATCACTTTGGACCTTAGAATTTAATCATCCGATTGGATTAGCTGCTGGTTTCGATAAAGATGGTGAAGCTGTTCCCGGTTTAGCTAAATTGGGCTTTAGTTTTGTCGAAGTTGGATCAGTCACCCCAAATCCCCAATCGGGCAATGAGAAGCCAAGAGTTTTTCGATTGAAAGAAGACGAAGCGATTATCAATAGGTGAGAATTTTAGCTAATTTTCTCTAATTTTAATTCTTTTTCCATCTTAACTTTTAATCATCTAATCAATTGCCCTGTTCTCTTTTTCCCAGATATGGTTTCAATAGTTCTGGTCATGAGGCGGTTCGCGAAAACTTGACCAAAAGTTTATCCAATTTAAAGCCAACCGTGGTTGGAATTAATTTGGGTAAAAATAAAACCTCAACTGATTCAATTGGTGATTATGTTAAAGGATTGGAGGTTTTTGGAAACAGTAAATTTGTTGATTATTTTGTAATTAACATTTCAAGTCCCAATACTCCAGGTCTTAGAGATATTCAATTGAAAGATACTCTGGATCCATTTCTAGACGGCATTTTAAACGCTAAAGCAAAGCTCAACATTACCAAACCTTTATTGGTAAAAATATCTCCCGATTTAAATGATTCAGAGCGTAAAGATATCGCCCAAATGATGATTAAACCTCGACTAAGTGGACAAAAGATTGATGGACTAGTCGTCACCAATACAACAATCTCACGACCCCCAAGCCTTAAATCTTGTCATTCTAGTGAAAGTGGTGGTCTAAGTGGTCAACCATTGAAAAATTTATCCACCCAAATGATTCGTGATATGTATTGTTTAACGAAAGGGTCAATTCCTATCATCGGAGTGGGCGGTGTTGCCGATGGTCAAGATGCCTACGAAAAACTTAGAGCCGGAGCCTCGTTAATTCAATTGTACACTGCTCTCGCTTACCGAGGCCCTTCACTTGTTTCTACAATCGTTAATGACCTTTCTCAACTAATCAGGTAAATTCAATTCTCTATCCCTTTCACATCTTTAACAATCGTCGAAATTATAAAAATTAAAATATTCTTTTCTTTGTTTATTTTCATAAAGTGACGACGGATTCTCATCTATTGAGGAAATCATTGGAATCGATGCCAAACAAACCACGAAATAAGAGAGCAAAATCTTAATCACATTAACAATTTATTGCCAATTAATTACCTGTACAGATATTAAATAGTTTTCTCCTTCCAATAGTTACAATTTTGATGCAAGAGAAAAGTAAACATTTTATATTAGTGATCAACTGTTAATTGTATTACAATTACTAAAGTTGACATTTTCCATCCATGTAAATCCAATTTATCGATTAAAGTATAAACTTGATAATTGAATGCCAATCACAATCATAAAGTAAATAATTTAGACTCATTAATCTATCAGTTGACAATCAGATTAAATTGAAGATGATTTTATTGTTCTCGAACAATCCAGTTAACTTTCATTTAAGATTTTTAATTACAATTTAGTTCTTGGAATTGATTTTTCAATCATTCAATTGGGTGCATTTCTTTTTTTCATGATTAATTTATGAATAGTTAAAAGTAACACATTAAAAGTGAGCATAATGTATAATTACAATCATATTGTTACAATTTATTTTATATAAAAAGAAAAGTTCATGTTACTCTTCATTCATAATTATTAGATGATAATTAATGATGACAAGCTTGATGTGGTTCTATTAGAAGACATGGAAGAAGTTAATGAAATTTGATTAAACTCTAAAGGGGTAAAGGAAAGAGAGAGATGATGATGATGATGATGATGATAGAGAGAAGGAAAAATTAATTGTATTAATTATTGTTGGACTTTTTAAAATTTGATTCTATGTTGAGTTCATTGTGCTGATTATTGCTGATTGTTGGTCATATTCATAATGGAAGTCATCAGCTGACAAAACATTACCTAACATGTTTGAATCTTCAGCTTCTGAGCGATCAGATTCAGAACCATAAGGTAAATCGGGAATTATTGTCAAAGGTGTTGGTACAGAATGTGACATCTTTTGATCATATGGATTAGTTGAAACGGTTTCTAAAAGGTGAAGATTACTTCTTATGGCGACAAGTTTTGAGCTTCGATTATCTAGTGAACGGGATTTCCTTTTATCGGGTTGATGGCCTCTTTGTATGAGAATTTTATCAATGGTTACATTACAACATGGAATAGATAACAATTTGATACCTATTTCGGAAAGATATCGATGAGACTCATGGCGACGAATGAATTTCCACCATTCAAGAGGTCCAACAATTTCTGCTTGTTTCCAAACCATGTCCGATTCAAAGTAACCCGTTTTGGTGGTGAAATTACTGAAGCTACGAATTAATTGGTCGAAAATGTCCGTTTTAACGTTGCTCCAAATGACTCGAGCATAATCTAGTAAAAATTTCTCAGCACTTTGAAGCTCAGGTTCGGAAAGATTTACCCCTTTTTTACGAGGATCAAGTACGTTGGCCAAGAAATACGCTGGACTCATATCGGTTAAGAATCTTTTCTTTTCATTAACTATCGGTAAAATTTGTGGTATTAAAGATGAAAAAATAGCTGTTGATCCTTGACAGGAGACAAGACGCTCTTGAATACCTCTGAACATATCGGGAATATCGGAAATGGGGCTATAATTTAATTCTATGATGTTGATGTATTCTTGGATTGTATGGAAAATCATCTTTATGTGATCAATACGATCCCAGAAATCAGCTGATAAGATAATCTCACGTACTCTTGGGTCCATAGAGACAGATGAGTCCATGGCCACTGAGCGAAGGATTTGTTTTCCGATCGAAAGTTGGTTAATATTGAGATGTGCTGAATATCTTGATTTAAAGTAAAGCGATGCCATGTGTAGACCACTATTGGCAAATCCGGATGATTTACCAGCTATTTCTTGAAATTTTGGATTTAAAACTTGAGATCTTTTGATTTCGGTTGAAATGCTTTGTGCAAATCCCATTATTTGAGCGATTTCAGGTACTCTTGAAATATCGTCTAGTAATGAGTTGAGACAATATGATGCACATCCAAAGGTAAGTAAGTGAGGAAAAGCTGAACGTAAAACTTGTCCTAAAATTGTCATTTCGGATGCATTGTCAGCTAAAATGGCAACGAAATTCTCGCCACCTTTATCCTCGATGATTGGCTTTAAAAGAGAGAAAATGTACTTCGAAGTGTGTGGATTATTTCGGGTATCAACGGATGAATGGAAAACGGGAGACGGTGTACAGATTATGATGTTAAGAATCTCTGTGTTGAGAGCACAAGAAAATCCATCTAGAGCAATAGTTAAACATTCACTTTTACTTAGATAAGCTTCGGTTGCGCTCATAACTTGGCGATATTCATTGTCCAAAAGGGTTGAGTTTAAAATATTTTTCGAGGGTAAAACAAAATCAGGTCGAAGACGATGGAAAAACTTTTTCCAATGATCATTTTCAACAAAATGATAGGGAAGAGATGAACTGTAAATAGCTCGTGCAAATAGTATTCGTAGCTCTTCCTGCTCTTCTGCTGGATCCATGTGAGGTTTAATTGTTTTGTCAATGAAACTTGATGATCCTGCACCATCATGTGGCTTATCTAAAGCTAATTGTCTTCGTTTATTGACTTCTCTCATCATTTTATCATGATGCGCTTGAAGACCAGGAATATCTGATCGATCATTAAGATCACCAGCTTCCATTTGTCTTCTATGAGTGAATCTTTCATTCTCATTACTTAAATTAGCTTTTATCTCAACAGGACATAAACTACATTTATCGATAAGATGAGCTTTAATTTGAGTAGCATTTCGCCGATAACGACTGGAACAGAAGACACACTGGAAAGAGTCCGAGGACGTCTCATAAACATAAGACCAAACGAGTGAAGATTTTCGACCACGACCAGGAGCCATTTGTGATGGAGTCATAAATGTAGTTAATTTGTACGTTTGAGTTGTGAGGGTACGAAGCTTTTAATTTGTGTTTAAATGAACAGGATAATTTTAGCAATTAATAAAAGAAAAAAACGGCGAACAGATGATTAATCAATTTCTAGACGATTCTTGAAGATAAACAGAAAAGACACAAAAAGTAGTAATAGTTGTGTTGTAGTTTCCAATGTTGTTATTGTTGTTCTCCTTCTTCTTCAATTTACTGATGATTAATGATTATGGTTTTCTTGTTCTTCTAGTAAACAAACACTTTAATCCAATGGATAGAAGTGTTGATAATAATCAAAAAAAGATGAAATAATATCAATTGAAGTAAGCGGTTTATACAAATTTTGCGATTGGAAAGACAAAAACAATCATCCACCAAATGTTTAGCCTTTGATAATTTCAACACCGAGGATGATTTAAGAGCAAGAGATCTGTGAAGTAGGAAAAGAAATACAACAAAGAATTAATGTTATTATCTTGATATTTTCTAAAGAGAAGAAAATTTAGGATTAAGATGGACAGAAAAGAGAAAAGAGAAAACAGAGAACAGGTTCAAAAGAAAAGTAAAAGAATATGATTGCAAAGATTGAGAAAGATTGAGAAAAATTCTGATAACAGTAAAATGTTTATGATAAGGTTGATGGAAGAACAAGGGTAAAGTCAATTACAAACAATCGACATTATCGAAATGATCGAAATAATGTAATTGTGAGTGAGAGAAAGAGAGAAAAGGACCAATCAAGAATATTAAGAAATTAACCATTGATGATGTTAGAGAAAAAAGAACATCGGAATTAATTTACAATTCACAGACAATTAAGAAAACACCGAAGAAATTAGAAAAATAAATATACAGTTAACATTGGAGAAAGAAAAATAAATCACCTAGAGTTTGGATCCAATTTAAGTTTGGGTCCAATTGATTAATAGAACATCACATTTTAATTGAGGAAAGTGAACAATGTAAAGGGGTGATAATTGTAGACAATTAATGAATTAAAAAAAGAACAATTTAAAAGTAAACAATTAAAAGATTGAAATGAGAAAAAAAATCTTCAAATGTTGTTGGTGATTTTTTAGAAAAGAAAAAAACAGTTACCATGGTAACGGAATTTTGATGCGAAAGAGAAGAAAAAGTGTAGACAGAGAAAAGGAAAATGAGGGAAAGTAAAAGAGAAGAAAATAAAAGTGATTTAATAACGAAAATATAATTTTGGTGATAATAAAAATGAAGAGAAAAGAGAAAAGTAATAACAGTTAGATGAAGACGATAATTACTACAAGAGTCAAAGAAGATTAAGATGAAGATACAATGGAAAATGTTCAATTCGCCAACTTGGAAAGTGTAACCAAAGGATCAACAGTTTGACACCATTTTGTTTTTTCTTGTGACTTGATTTATACTTTTGTGTTGACCATGTTAAATTTTTAATTTCTAATTGTTTTCTCACTTGATTAACATCATTACCTCACCGGTAATGGAACAGATTGTTTGGGATTAAAGGATTAACAAGATTACATGGTATATGTGAATATTACCCATTGGAAAATATTCCATCGTTGACTTTAAGCCATTTCCATGTGTTGGTAATACAATTTTGATTATTGTTCTTTTCTCTTCTCATTTAATTTATTTCTAGTTCTTTTTCAATAATTGTTTTTATTTTTCTTTTTATTCTCTTCTTCCTCTTCAGCTTGCCCACTTAACATTTATACATGAACTTCATATTTTATAAGCTATTATATTTTCCAAGGTGAAACGAGTATCATAGTGATTATGTTTTTCTCAAGAAACATTTCATGTTTTTTGCTCTTTATTTATTATTGTGATTATAAGTTTTTACTCTCATATAATAGTACATTTAAGTATCTGTATATTGATTTGGGTTCGATTGATTTAGAACCGAAAAATAATGATAAACTCAAGGCCTCAACGGCATCACTTAATTGTACAATTCTGGTTTTCTTTTCGGCCGCACTTGATTCTGACATAATTGACAATTTAAATCACAATTTACATTTACAGTTAACGTTGACTTTTAAGATGGTAATGTAATTGATTGCCCTTGTGTTCCAGATTAGAAAATTGATGAATGTCCTTAACCACGGAAATACTCATGAATGAATGGGTTATCGGTTCTGAAAGGACTGGCAATATCTTCATTCAGCGAGTATCTACTGATTCGTCCAAATCCTTTGATCTTGAATAAGTAGATAGCGATTCTACGACCAGTTGTCTTGAAATGTCTATCGACTGAATTAAAGTAAACTGGATCTTCAATATCGTCTAAAGGTTGATATACATTTTGAACAAATAGATTCAAATTGGGTAACATTTCAATTATCTCGATCATCAACTTATTAGTTATGCATCTTTCGTAAAGTCGAATCATAAGATTCTTGCAATTAGGAAACTTGACCAATATATTTTTGAACAGTTTTGAGTATTCGATATCAGGGTTACACTTTAAATTACGATATGACAAGTTCTGTAGATAAATGGAAACGCCAATTAGAGATGAAATAGAGTAAAACGTATAAAGAGTACTTACGATTTCTAATGCCAAATCTTGGACATTCGGATGAATTCTGGAAGCTGGAAAAGTTTCGTTTTCATTTGAAGACACAATATTCAGGTAGAGACTCGGTAGTTCAGGGAAAAGAGATAAAACTTGAAGAGTTGAAGATTCAATGTTGTCAATATATTCAATTTTGAGTTGTTTCAAATTCATTTTCGGTGCAGGCCCTTTAAGAGGTTCGACTAAATATAAGAGAAAAAAATTAGTACGTGAATGTAATTCAATTAATCAGTATAATTACATTTAGGGTCATATAACAGAGACAAAGCTTCTAGATTTGGCATTTTTCTCAATATTCTTGCAAAAGAATCGATGGCTCCAGAGTGAAAAGAAAATTCAGAGAAATCTATCCAAGCTTCAAAGTGTTTCAAATTGTTTCCAAATCCGGTGAAAAAACTCCGAATAAAATGTTTCGATTTCGACGAAAGATACTCCAAATTTTCACAATAATGCACCATTTCATCGATGTGAACACTGCGACAGCAACTGCAAACATCACTTCTGTGACTTGGGAATTCACTCTTAAATCCGATCAACGTGTTCGAAGTCGATAAAACATTGATCGTAGCTTTGCCCATACACTGTTTATAACCAGTGCAATTTGAAGTAAAAACTAGTAAACATCAGAATTAGCAAATGTTTTCTTCTTAGAAACAATCAACTCACCTTAAGATTTGGTAACAGTTTAGAAACATTCACCTTCTCAAGTAACTTCGGGTCATTCACGTAGATATGCTTGTAAGATGGATTTTCTTGAAAATTAAAAGACCGAAATTCGTTTGAAAATAGAGAAAAAGAAACTCGATTAAACCGTTTCAATGATCGACATAAAGACAATTCACTCGAATTTTCTTCCAAATGTAAATAATGAATTTTTTTCAGTCTTCTTTTAATCAAATTGTTCCATCCACTACAAACTGTTCATCAAAATGTAAAAAGAATAATGAGTTTCAATTGAATATTTCAGTAGAAAACAATTAGAATGAAAAAGAGTAGAAATATTGTCTTACCTGTCGACAAACTCAAAAGTTGTTTAAGATTCGGAAAATAATCAAATATATACAATAAACAATCTTCAGGTAAATCATTCAATTCCATTGCCACAAACCTTTGTTGACAAAAACGTCAAGTAAAAGGGTTAATCCTACAATAAGAATCACAATAATAACACGATTTGAGCAACGAAATTCAAATGGTTGAAGGTAATCAATTTCGATCTGTTTCAATTACATTCACCGATAAAATTTGAATCAATATTGGAAAAAAATTTATAACACAATTTACATTTAAATGTAATAACCAGAAAAACTAGATTAGATTAGTAACTAATCGTTGTAAGATGATCATTTGAAGAAGTAAACATTCAATTAAATCCAATGGACAATGGAAATTAATTTAACGAATTTTTGTAAGTTTTAACAATCAATTGAAAAATTGGTCATGTTAGTGTTTACAGAGGGTTTTTATTGGTAAACAATTAGTGAGCAAGAGAGAGACTTTAACCCTACGAGGACTCAGAGGGAAGAGCTGGCGTTGAGATCTCATCGTGAGAACTTGCCTCGAGGGTGAGCACTCAAAATAGCCAAAAGAATAAATTGAGAAATTGACTGAAACGATTTGAATGAAGACAATATCATAAATGAATCAAGAAATACCTGTGAAAATTTCTCAGTAAATTATTAATTAGTTTATCAATTTTGGCCTAAATCTTTTTGGCTTAAACCACTTTGGCGATTTTCTATTCGGCTGTTTTCTAAATGGCTTAAATCTCAGGTAATCGCCTCGAGATCTCACTTCGAGGCAGGATTAAGAGACGAGTACTAAGCCTCGGTTCGGTGTCAACTCGGTTCGGTGTCAGTTCGGTGTCAACTCGCCAAGCCTTTAAGTAAACATTAAAACTAATCCCTTTGTTTTTGCAGAATTTGCCTAAAGTAAATTGAAATTTTCTGAGTTTCATAGGTATTGCTGTCGAATAGGTTAGGTTATGAACGACCGATGTTACTAATGCGAGTCGAACTTTGCTTATGAACATTGAGACACTTGAGTGGGATCATTATCTTTGCGAGTGAGTAGTTTAAATTGTTAATCAAGATTATGTTTACCTTCAATTTCCTCAAAATTGAGACAAGGCATCATGATGTCGAACGTTAATTCTGAGCAAGTTGAACAAACAAAATCAAATTTAACCTTTCATACTTTTTGATTGATTATTTGCATTTTACTAATATCCGTTTTTTTTATCTGTTAATTGTTACAACAGAAAAGTATTCAAGATTCCGGTATCAATTTTACCTAAAATGCAATCGTCAGCATCACAATTTGGTTTAATCAAATCTGGTTCTTTACAAGGGATTCCTGTCACTGGTGTAAGTTGGTTAATTTCAATATTTTGTGATTTTCTGTCTAATTGTATAATATTTTTCTTAAATTGCTTTAGGTTATTGGTGATCAGCATTCAGCTTTAGTGGGTCACCAATGTCTCTCTCCTGGTCAGATTAAAAGTACTTATGGAACTGGATGTTTCATTTTACAAAATTTAGGCTCACTTTCGGTGAAAAAAGTTCTGAGCGGAGTTTCAGCTGAAGCTAGAAAATCACTAATATTAACGGTGGCCTACAAAATTGATGGAAAACCCGCTGTTTATGCATTGGAAGGCAGTATTGCTGTGGTTGGGGCCTCAATGGTTTGGCTTCGAGACAATATGGGTTTAATTAACGATTTCAATGAAATCCAAAGTTTGACAAATTTATTTTGTACCCGCTTTTCAAGGTCTATTTGCACCTTACTGGGATCTCAATGCAAGTGGTTTGTTCATTGGTCTCTCTCAATTTACTCAAAAATCTCGCTTGCTCCGAGCGATGTTGGAAAGTGTCGCTTTCCAAACGACAGATACATGTATTTTAGCTCTAATGAAACCTCTGTGTTCAGGATTAAAGGTTGACAGAGGAATGACCGCAAATGATTCTTTATAATAAATATTAATAATGCAGATAATTTGCTTGGTGAAATGTTATTCTCTTTTTGTTTATTCATTGATTATCTTTGTTCCAGATTAGAAAATTGATGGATAAGAATCTTTTCCACAGCGGAAATACTTATGAATGAACTGATTATCGGTTTTGAAAGGACCGGCAACATCTTCATTCAATGAGTACCGAATGATTCGTCCAAATCCTTTGTTCTTAAATAAGTAGATAGCGATTCTACGACCAGTTGTCTTGAAATGTCTATCGACTGAATTAAAGTAATCTGGATCTTTCCTATCATCTAAGGCTTGATAAACATTTTGAACAAATAGATTCAAATTGGGTAACACTTCAATTATCTCGATCATCAACTTATTATTTATGAATTCGTAGGCAACATCGATCATAAGATTCTTACAATTAGGAAACTTAGCCAAAATACTTTTAAATAGCTGCGGGTATTTGAAATCGCGATCGTACTGATAATCAATCAAGAAATTGTCCTGTATGATAGAAAGTGTCAACAGTTAATAATAAAACCAAGGCAAATAAAAGATTAAAGAGGACTTACGATTCGTATCACCAAATCTTGGACACTCGGATGAATATCGGAAGTAGTAAAAGTTTTGGCTTTTTTTAGCATATCAATTCGTAAGTAGAGACTTGGTAATTCGGGGAAAAGAGATAAAACTTGAAAAGTTCTAAATCTCATGTAAAATGTTAGAATTTTGAGCTGTTTCAAATTTATTTTCGGTATAGGCCAATGACGAGTTTTAACTAATTATTAGAGAAAAAAAATTAGTACGTGAATCTTATTGGGAAAATCAAAATATTAATAATTACTTTCAGGTTCACATAACAAAGTCAAAGTTTCCAGATTTGGCATTTTCGCCATTAATCTTGAAACAGAATCAGTAGCTCCAGGGTACAAAGAAAATCCAGAGAGATCTACCAAAGCTTCAAAGTGTTTTAAATTGTCTCCAAATGAGAAGAAAAAACTCCGAATAAAATGTTTCGATTTCGACGAAAGATATTCCAAATTACCACAATGTTGCACTATTTTATCGATGTGAATACCATCAGAGCAATTGCGACTGTCACTTTTGTGACATGGAGATCGATCTTTTAATCCGATCAACGTGTTCGAAGTCGATAAAACATTGATCGTAGCTCTGCACATACACTGCCAACCATTGTAATGATTTGTTGTAAAAAACTAGTAAATTTCAGAATGGATTAGCAAACGTTTTCTTCCTACATGTGTATAATCAACTCACCTTAAGATTTGGTAAAAGTTTTGAAACATTTACTCTCTCAAGTAGTTTAATGTCATTGGTGTAGATATGAGGGTGAGATGGGTATTCTCTAAATTTAAAATGCCAAGAATGTTCTGTTAGAAATAGAGAAAAACAAACTTGATTTAACCTTTTCAATTATCGACATGAAGATAACTCACCATCAGATTCTTCCAAATTTAAATATTGAACTTTTTCCAGTCTTCTTTTAATCAAATTGTTCCATCCACTACAAACTGTCCATCAAAATGTAAAAAGAATAATGAGTTTCAATTGAACTTTTTCAGTAGAAAAGAATAAAAATATTCTTTTACCTGTCGACAAAATGTGAAGTTGTTTAAGTTCCGGAAAATAATCAAATATATACAATAAACAATCTTCAGGTAAATCATTTAATTGCATTGTCACAAATCACTGATAATCAATTGAGAATCGGGGTAGACTAAAACTTGAAATAAATGAACTTGCATGAAAATAATCAACATAAGAGTAATTGGAAAACAATCAACTGTGATGGTGATCAAAGGGTAAACAATCATACAATTAAGATCTTTTAGCAAAGACTCTTTGCCAAAGAGTAAGCTACAGTCAGACCTCTCATATTTGAACAAAATCCTGTCATCTACTGTATTTTAGTTTCGTCCTCAATCCTTTTCCATTGGAAATTAAATTATTTTAAATTTTCGCATTTTTATTCTTATTTTGACCAATCACATTAATTGTTTACGAACTAATTTTGTTAATATGAGAGGTCTGACTTAATTAATCTTTGGCTTTTAAGCCCGAGATTTGAGCCGCGAAATTCAAGTGGTTGAGATTGATCATCTACGATCTGTTTCAATTACATTCACCGATGAAATTTGAGCAAATATTAGAAAAAAATTAAAAATGAATTACTTGTTGGGGTGTTAATATTAATAATAATAATAATACTATAAATAATAAAATAATATTATAAATCAATGTAAATGTAAAAGTTTTTTTCACAAAATCTAAGAATATGGCTAAATCGAAACTCATCTCGAATTGGGATTAAAATACATAATGTAAATCTATCAGGTTGAGTAATAATTAATGTCCGTTTTTTATTATCGAATCTTGGTTTTAATTAATATACAATGTAAGACAAACGATTCAAATGAGGATTGATCATTTCAAAAGGCAATACAAATGGATAGCAGTTGATCTTGAAAACTCGATCAAGTTTTTTGAAGATTTAGATTATTTGGATCCAGTAAAACTCCAATAACTTATTATTTGCCAATTTCCTCTGATTGTTGTTTCTCAAATGATTGATCCTCTTTTTTAGGTGTAACCATAATCTGTTGAGAAAAATTGGATTAGTAAATGATAATTGTAGCTCTTTTATTGTAGAGTATTTCAAACCTTGTTAGAAAGAGGATTCGTCTTGATTCTTGGCTTGATTGAATTTCTAATTGTCGCCTGATCTTCTTTGACTTTTTCATTATTTGTCCATTATTCTTGCAAAAGAATCGGTAGAACTGTACCCTGGGTACAAAGAAAATTTTGAGAGATCTACCAAAGCTTCAAAGTGTTTCAAATTGTCTCCAAATGTGAAGAAAAAACTCCTAATAAAAGGTTTCGATTCCGACGAAAGATACTCCAAATTACCACAATGTTGCACTATTTCATCGATGTGAACACCGCGAGAACAATCGTAAGCATCAACTCTGTGACATGGAGATTTACCCTTAAATCCGATCAACGTGTTCGAAGTCGATAAAACATTGATCGTAGCCTTGCACATACACTGTTTATAACCAGTAAATTCTGTAGTCAAAAACTAGTAAATTTCAGAATAAATTAGCAAATATTTTCTTCTTAAAAACAATTAACTCACCTTTAGATTTGGTAACATTCACCTTCTCAAGTAAGCTCGGGTCATTCGTGTAGATATGGTTGTAAGATGAACAGTCTAGAGCATCAAAATACCAAGAATACTCACCATCACATTGTTTTAAATGTAAATATACATCCAACAATTAGAATCACAATTATTGTTACAGTTATTGTTGTTCTCCTTCTTCTTCAATTTACTGATGATTAATGATTATGGTTTTCTTGTTCTTCTAGTAAACAAACACTTTAATCCAATGGATAGAAGTGTTGATAATAATCAAAAAAAGATGAAATAATATCAATTGAAGTAAGCGGTTTATACAAATTTTGCGATTGGAAAGACAAAAACAATCATCCACCAAATGTTTAGCCTTTGATAATTTCAACACCGAGGATTATTTAAGAGACAAGAGATCTGTGAAGTAGGAAAAGAAATACAACAAAGAATTAATGTTATTATCTTGATATTTTCAAAAGAGAAGAAAATTTAGGATTAAGATGGACAGAAAAGAGAAAAGAGAAAACAGAGAACAGGTACAAAAGAAAAGTAAAAGAATATGATTGCAAAGATTGAGAAAGATTGAGAAATTCTGATAACAGTAAAATGTTTATGATAAGGTTGATGGAAGAACAAGGGTAAAGTCAATTACAAACAATCGACATTATCGAAATAATGTAATTGTGAGTAAGAGAAAGAGAGAAAAGAACCAATCAAGAATATTAAGAAATTAACCATTGATGATGTTAGAGAAAAAAGAACATCGGAATTAATTTACAATTCACAGACAATTAAGAAAACACCGAAGAAATTAGAAAAATAAATATACAGTTAACATTGGAGAAAGAAAAATAAATCACCTAGAGTTTGGATCCAATTTAAGTTTGGGTCCAATTGATTAATAGAACATCACATTTTAATTGAGGAAAGTGATGATAATTGTAGACAATTAATGAATTAAACAAAAGAACAATTTAAAAGTAAACAATTAAAAGATTGAAATGAGAAAAAAAATCTTCAAATGTTGTTGGTGATTTTTTAGAAAAGAAAAAAACAGTTACCATGGTAACGGAATTTTGATGCGAAAGAGAAGAAAAAGTGTAGACAGAGAAAAGGAAAATGAGGGAAAGTAAAAGAGAAGAAAATAAAAGTGATTTAATAACGTAAATATAATTTTAGCGATTATAAAAATGAAGAGAAAAGTAATAACATAATATTATTAATAACTTAATTTGCTTCAATTTTTAATCTTGAAGGTGAGAAAAACACGAAAAATATTACCAAACGATAAGAATAACGATAATCATTAATAACCTTTATCATTATCGATAATAAAGATAATGATAATTGTCATTTTGATAATTTCTACATGTATGAATTGAGATTGATTTGTTTACAGATATTATTAGAATACAGTTATTACAATGAAATCGATCAAATGAATTTTCTGGTGTAAAAGATTAAGCGTAGCCTGATTATCGTTCGAGTAGAAAAAGTAATCAAGGTTAATATTTTTACTTTGAATTTGATTTGAAGAATCACTTATGATTTTCTCCTTTTAATAACTTGATTGATATCGACACAATCCACGACGGAAATACTTATGAATGAATTGATTATCGGTGTTGAAAGGGTTGGCAATATCTTCATTCAGTGAATACCGACTAATTTCTCCAAAATCATCGTTAACTAAGTAAAAAGCAATTCGACGACCAATTGACCTGCAATGTGTATCGACGGTATTAAAGTAATCTGGGTAACACCAATCGCCCAAAATTTGCTCTACATGCAGAACAAATAGATTCAAGTTCGGTAACATTTCAATTATCTTGAACACCGACTCATTAGAAATGCATTCGCTGTGAAGTCTGATCATAAGATTCGCACAATTAGGAAACTTGACCAATACACTTTTAATCAAGTTAATGTATTCAATATCGTCATCTCGGACTATTAAGTACTGTATGATAAATGGAATTGACAATTAGTGATAAAATAAAACTGAATAGAAGATTAAATTCAGACTTGAGTGGTATGAGTTTAAGCGGTACTCAATTGTCAAATTAAAAGCTCAAGGCCATTCAGATCATTGTCGCAAGAAAGCGTTTCAAGGTCATCTGTAGGTAATTCAACAAAAAAGAATAACTATATCCCCTTCAGATTATCTTGAAACGCGTTCTTTCAACAATGACCTGAATGGCCTTGATTGCCAAAAAACATCAGTAAAAATAGATAAATAGCGCTGTACAACTCACGATTTCCAATGCCAAATCTTGGACATTCGGATGAACACCGAAAAATGGAAATGTTTCATCTTTATCTTCTGAGATACAAAAACTTAAGTAGAGACTTGGTAGTTCTGGGAAAAAAGATAAAACTTGAAGAGTTGAAACGTCAACAGGTATATTTAAAATTTCGAGTTGTTTCAAGTTCATTTTCGGTTTAGGCCATTTAGGAGGTTCGACTAAATATCAGAGAAAAAAAATTAGTATCTGGATTTAGTTTAGATAATTAATTTAAATACTTTCAGGTTCATCTGACAAAGACAAAGTTTCAAGATTTGGCATTTTCGCCAATAATCTTGTGAAAGAATCAGTGGCTCCATGGTACAAAGAAAATTTAGAGAGATCTACCGAAGCTTCAAAGTGTTTTAAATTGTCTCCAAATGAGAAGAAAAAACTCCTAATAAAAGGTTTCGATTCCGACGAAAGATACTCCAAATTACCACAATGTCGCACTATATCATCGATGTGAACACGGTTACTACAATTCGTTACTTTACTATTGATACATGGAGATCGACCCAACAATCCTATCAACGTGTTTGAAGTCGATAAAACATTGATCGTAGCTTTGCACATACACTGTTGATTTCCGTAAAATTCTGTTGTAAAATACTGATAAATTTCAAAATGGATTAGCAAATTGGTTTTCTCCTCTAAAATAATCAACTCACCTTAAGATTAGGTAAAAGTTTCGAAACGTTTACTCTCTCAAGTAATCCAATGTCATTGGTGTAGATATGATTGTAAGGTGAATATTTCCACAAGTTAAAAAACTCAGCTTGATTCGCTTTTAAAAGAACGAAGAAAAAGAACAAAATTAATTTCCGATGATCGACATGAAGATAACTCACAGCAACTAAGGTTGCATTTATATAAATGCAAATTTCGAACTTTTTTCAGTCTCCTTTTAACCAAATTGTTCCATCCACTACAAACTGTCCATCAAAATGTGAGAAGAATATAGAAGTAAGTTTTAATTGAACATTAGAATGAAGAATAAAAATATTCTCTTACCTGTCGAAAAACTCAAAAGTTGCTTAATACAAGGAATCCAATCAAATATATTTGATAAACAATCTTCAGGTAAATCATTTAATTGCATCTTCACAAAAATCCGATTGAGAATCAGGATTGACTAAACTCTAAGAAAATGACATTTGGATGAAATAACAAATTTTGAGCTGTTGGAAAACTTTGAAAGATATGAGAATGTCAACAATCCTAAAGTTATACCAAAATGACCTCAGGTTATTGACCTGCAGGTTTTTAGACCTGTGATCCAAGATTTGAACCGCGAAATTCAAATCAACTGTATACAAGCAATTTCGATCTGTTTCAATTATAAATTCACCGATAAAATCAGACTTAAATACTAGAAAATTTTTATATACATGTATGTATGCAGAGAATGTTAGCTGCATATCAGTTGGTCTTGAGAACTGGATTAAATTTCATAAATATTTAGACTGTTTGGATCTAGTAAAACTCCAATAATTTGTTTTCTAATTTCCTCTGATTGTTGTTTCTCAAATGATTGATTCTTTGCAGGTGTAACTATAATCTGTTGAGGAAAATTAGATTAATAAATGATAATTGTAGCTCTTTAATTGTAGAATATTTTAAACCTTGTCGGAAAAAGGATTCGTTTTGATTCTTGGCTTGGATTGAATTTCTAATTGTCGACTGATCTTCTTTGACTTTTTCATTATTCGTATGATCACAAGCATCACTGAATGAAATATATTAATAAATTGTAAACATGGTAGAAAATACAAATTAATTATTAATCAGGTAAAGAGCATAGAAATGAATCACTGAATCAATATAATTCAGCAAATCTATTTGATTGTTAGTGTAAAGGTGCTGATATTTCATATAATTTTCATTAATTTTTATATATTTGTCATTTTTTTGATGAACTTTTTCACCATTTAACACATGAGTTAAATCAATTCTAAACTCTAATTCATATTTATTTCCATTGTTTAAATACTGACTTTTGTATTCAAACTAAACAACTGACCTGGACTCTATTGTTTTTCTGTTTGTTTACACTTTGCCTTAAGGTGAGAGTCAAGAGATTAGGATTAAGAGCTTAAAAATTGGTGAATTTGGACGATACCAATGTACCTTAGGTAAAAGAAGCCTTAGAAAATGGTCGATCACTTATTGGAATTGGGGTCAGAACAGCAAAGAGCAAAATAGCAAAAGACAAAACAGCAAAGGCAAATAAGCAAAGGGCAAAATAGCAAAACTTAGTTATTAGATGTGATATACGATTTTCATTGAAACTCAAATTTTTATCTGAATTGAGTCAGAGAACAGAAAAAATATGACTTGGATTAGATCAGGCATGTGATAAGTGTCAAATTTGGTTTGATTGTCTTAGGCCTCAGGTATTTTTCGTAATAGACCCGTTTGGTGACACTAACTAACCTAATCTAACAAAACAAAACAAACCAAATATTACGTTAATCAATTACATTAATCAGCTCAGTAACATGAATTTCGACTCAGCCGCTAATTTATTATTATAAATTGTTCGATATAGTTTATCAATCTAATCGATTTAAATTTTGCTATTTTGCCCTTTGCTTATTTGACTTTGCTGTTTTGACTTTTGCTATTTTGCTCTTTGCTGTTCTGACCCTTTACCATTGGAACAATTGATTCTTGGCTACTCTGGAATCTCTGTGGTGTCCATTCGACCGATGTTACTAATGCGAGTCGAACTTTCCTTATGAACATTGAGACACTTGAGTGGGATCATTATCTTTGCAGTAGTTTAAATTGTTAATAGATGTCCTTCAACTTTCTGTGTGGAACTAAAAAGTAAGTTGGACAAACAAATTAAACCTTTCATACTTTTTGATTGATTGTTTGCATTTTACTGATATCCGTTTTTTATCTGTTAATTGTTACGACAGAAAAGTATTTAAGATTCCGGTATCAATTTTACCTAAAATACAATCATCGGCATCACACTTTGGTTTAATCAAAAATCGAAAATTTAGCAAATCAAGTTGAAGATTCAGGTGGAGTTTATTTTGTACCCGCTTTTCAAGGTCTATTTACACTTTGAGCGAGCGATATTTTAGCTCTAATGAAATCTCCGTGTTCAGGATTAAAGGTTGACGGAGGAATGGCCGCAAATTACACTTTATGACAAATATTAATATTTACAGATAATTTGCTTGGTGAAATGTTATTCTCTTTTTGTTTATTCATTGATTATCTTTGTTCCAGATTAGAAAATTGATGGATAAGAATGTCTTTCACTGCGGAAATACTTATGGATGAATAGGTTCTCGGTTTTGAAAGGATTGGCAACATCTTCATTCAATGAGTACCGAATGATTCGTCCAAATCCTTTGTTCTTGAGTAAGTAGAAAGCGATTCTACGACCAGTGGTCTTGAAATGTCGATCGACTGAATTAAAGTAATCTGGATCTTTCCAATCATCTAAGGCTTGATAAACATTTTGAACAAATAGATTCAAATTGGGTAACATTTCAATTATCTCGATCATCAACTGATTACTTATGCATTCGTAGGCAACATCGATCATAAGATTCTTAACATTAGGAAACTTGGCCAAAATACTTTTAAACAAATGTGGGTATTTGAAATCGCCATCGTACTGATAATCATTCAAGAAATTGTCCTGTATGATAAATGGAGTGAACAGTTAATAAAAAACCAAGGTAAATAAAAGATTAAGGAGAACTTACGATTCGTATTACTAAATCTTGGACACTCGGATGAATATCGGAAGTAGGCAAAGTTTGGACTTCTTTTAACATATCAATTCGCAAGTAGAGACTTGGTAATTCGGGGAAAAGAGATAAAACTTTAAGATTTGAAGATCCCATGTAAAGATTCACAATTTTGAGCTGTTTCATTTTCGGTGTAGGCCATTTAGGAGGTTCGACTAAATATTAGAGAAAAAAATTAGTATATGAATCTAATTCAGGCAATCGAAATATTAATAATTACTTTTAGGTTCATTTGACAAAGACAAAGTTTCAAGATTTGGCATTTTCTCCAATATTTTTGCAAAAGAATCGGTAGACCTGTACCCAGGGAACAAAGAAAATTTAGAGAGATCTACTCGAGCTTCAAAGTGTTTCAAATTGTCTCCAAATGAGAAGAAAAAACTCCGAATAAAAGATTCCGATCCTGACGATAAATACTCTAAATTACCACAATGTTGCACTATTTCATCAATGTAAACACCACGAACGCAAACTTGAGCTTCACTCCCGTAACATGGCGTTTGACCCTTCAATCCAATCAACGTGTTCGAAGTTGATAAAACATTGATCACAGCCCAGCACATACACTGCCAGCCATTGTAATGCTTTGTTGTAAAAAACTAGTAAATTTCAGAATGAATTAGCAAACGTTTTCTTACAAGTGTAAATAATCAACTCACCTTAAGATTTGGTAAAAGTTTAGAAACATTTACTCTTCCAAGTAGTGCAATGTCATTGGTGTAGATATGATTGTAAGATGAATATTTCCTAGAGTCAATATAATGAGTCGCTTTTTAAAAGGAAAAAGTGAATAACAGAATAGTATATAGTAATAGAATTAATTTAACCTTTTCAATGGTCGACTCGACATAAAGATAACTCACCATCAGATTCTTCCAAATGTAAATATTGAACTTTTTCCAGTCTTCTTCAACCAAATTGTTCCATAAACTGCAGACTGTCCATCAAAATGTAAAAAGAATGAGTTTTAATTGAATTTTTCAACAATTAGAAATAGTCTCTTGCCTGTCGTCAAATCTAAAAGTTGTTCAACACAATCAATATAATCAAATATATGCGATAAAAAATCTTCAGGTAAATCATTCAATAGCATTGTCATAAATCACAAATATCCAATTGAGAATCAGGGTAGACTTAAACTTGAAATAAATGAACTTGTATGAAAATAATCAACTCAAGAGTAATTGGAAACAATCAACTGTAGTAGTGATCAAAAGCCAACCATCCAACAATTAAAAGTAACTTTTAAAAAGTTTTTAGCAAAGAGTAATAAGCTACAGTCAGACCTCTCATATTTTAACAAAATCCTGCCATCTAATGGATTTTAGTTTCGTTCTCAACCCTTTTTCAATTTAGTGAACTTTTTCGCTCCTAATTAATTAACTTTTTCTGTGAATTAGAAATTAAATTTTGTTTTATTATTGTTAATTTCATCGCACGGATTAAGTTGATACCAAAATTATGATAGTTCAACAGTTACTTTAGTTATTTTTGTTACTCTTAAAACTGCGACTCTCATTACGTCGTAATAACTACAACCACCTCTGATCTAAGGTTAGTATCACAATATACATCTTACTGATTTTCTCTCTTTTTCTTCCCTTGATTTAAAATAGCTTTATTTAAAATTCTAATATTCAAAAAAAGGTGATTATCACCATCAAGCGTCAGAGCCCAAACGTAAACAAAAATATACTTGTAAAATCAAATCTTGTAAACTGAGCGGTTAGATCGGTGCCCCGGTGGCAAAAATGCGTAAGGCATTTGTTGTTGAAAAACAATTGAATAAAATTTTGCATTGGAAGTTAATTTATTTTAAATTTCGCGCATTTTGAACTTATTTCGACCAATCACATGAATCGTCGACTGATCTTCTTTGACTTTTTCATTATTCGTATGATCACAAGCATCACCCGAATGAAATATAAATTGTAAACATGGTAGAAAATACAAATTGAATTAATCAGGTAAAGAGCATAGAAACTAATTGGATTGTTACTGGAACCATTATTATCCTGAGATTCAACTAGTACATGCAAATTATTACAAATTAGTCAATTTAAATCTTCAAATGACCAAATATCATTAAAATAATAGTCTACCTGATGATGAATTATCTAATTTGTTGATTGATTTACTCTCAACATGCTCCAAAATTAAGGCAAATATTGAATTGATTCTGATTACCAATAATATTATCTCAATCTGAAGATATCTAATCCAACTTTTAGATTTTACACTTTCACATTCTTTGTACTTGTAAACTCCCGAGGCGATTAATAAACAAAATGTAACAAAAAAAAGTGCATCTCTTTTTGTCCACAATTATAATGTGACTAATTTAATTTCAGGTTCTTAAAAGTGTTGTGGCCAAATTCAATGCATCCCAGTTGATTACACAGCGTCAGCAAGTATCACTTCTTGTTCGTAAGGAGCTTATAGACCGAGCCAAAGATTTCAATATTATTCTGGATGATGTTTCATTGACTGAATTAAGTTTCAGTAAGGAATATGCTGCTGCTGTTGAATCTAAGCAAGTCGCCCAACAGGAAGCTCAACGAGCCGCATTCATCGTTGAACAAGCCAAACAGGAGAGACAACAGAAGATCGTCCAAGCGGAGGGAGAAGCCGAATCTGCTCTTATGATATCCTTTTCATACTTTTCACAATTTATCTCTAACATTTTCCTCTTTCCCTTATATTTGAAGCATTTTAATGATGAAAAACTTGAAGAAGGCGAACTAGTATATCTTCAGAATGATAATCGTCCATTAATCTTAACTCCATTCACCTCTTTTCTTTTGGAGGAGAGGTGAAAGGTTAACTTTTTATATTTAAATGGAGTTGTAAAAGGTGGACAACATCAAATTGACTTTAGAATTTTGATTGAGTTGATTGAAGTGTTTATTTTCTTGATTATATTTACTAAGTCGCACAAAAATCCTTTCCCTTTCGAAAGGATTTACTTAATTCACTTTTGATGATTTAAACTTTAGTAATCTGATTATTTTGCTTTTCTAGCTTTCAAAATCTTTCCACAATTATTGCACAAAAAATTTCCTTAACTCTCTTCTTTACTTAGGTGAATCCATCGCCAAGGATCCTGGTTACCTCAAGCTTAGGAAGATTCGAGCTGCCCAACAAATCGCAAAGACGGTCAGTTAATCGTTCTAATTATTTCCATTCATTTTCTTAAATCAATTGTATCGATTGTTTTGCTTTTCATTTAAAACTTCACATTTCACTTAAATTTCTTTCTCTTCTTCCTGATCTTTAGGTCGCTAGTTCACAAAACAAGGTTTATCTCAACTCTGGTTCTCTTATGCTCAATATTGCTGATAAGGAATATGACATTACAGCTGATACAATTAAACCTGGTAAAAAATAATGGAACCTTGTCAAATGTTAGATGTTAATTGATATAAAAAACGATCACAATCAAAGAAACAAAAAAAAATAATAGTCTATTCATCTTTAGTTTACCAAGAAACTTACACATACACACAAAAAAAATTAACTGTTGTATTTCCTACCACTTAATTGTCAATTAAACACTTTTTTCGTCTAATTCTTCCATTACTGTAAACATTAATTGTGTTAATTTATAGATTTAGTTTCTGCCAATTAAATTTTCTAATTGATTTTAACTCTCTCCAAATCTTATCCTTTTAATTGCACGAAATTATTCATCGATGATAAATAATGAATAATGAATAATAAAAAGTGAAAAAAAACCATTTATTAAATTGAGATCATGTTAATTGTAAAGGAATTTATTAAATTAAATTCAATGATTAAATTTGAAATTTGACTCCGAATGCTAATTTGACCGCAATTGCTGTGAGACACTTGAGTGGGATCATTATCTTTGCGAGTGAGTAATTTAAATTGTTAATCAAGATTATGTTTACCTTCAACTTCCTGTGATGATTAAATGACAAAATTGAGACAAAGCATATGGCTGATACATCCTGATGTCGAACGTTAATTCTGATCAAGTTGAACAAACAAAATCAAATTTAACTTTTTGATTGATTTATTAATGGTGGAGTTTATTTTGTACCCGCTTTTCAAGGTCTATTTGCACTTGGTACGAGCGATATTTTAGTTCTAATGAAACCTCCGCGTTCAGGATTAAAGGTTGACAGAGTAAAGGAGGAATGAATTATTCGCTTTTTGTTTATTCATTGATTATCTTTCTTCCAGATTAGAAAATTGATGGATAAGAATGTCTTTCACTGCGGAAATACTTATGGATGAATAGGTTCTCGGTTTTGAAAGGATTGGCAACATCTTCATTCAATGAGTACCGAATGATTCGTCCAAATCCTCGGTTCTTAAATAAGTAGATAGCAATTCTGCAACCAGTTGTCTTGAAATGTCTATCGACTGAATTAAAGTAATCCGGATCTTCTCTATCGTCTAAAGGTTGATATACATTTTGAACAAATAGATTCAGCTTGGGTAATATTTCAATTATCTCGATCATCAACTGATTACTTATGCATTCGTAGGCAACATCGATCATAAGATTCTTAACATTAGGAAACTTGGCCAAAATACTTTTAAACAAATGTGGGTATTTGAAATCGCGATCGTACTGATAATCATTCAAGAAATTGTCCTGTATGATAAATGGAGTCAACAGTTAATAAAAAACCAAGGTAAATAAAAGATTAAGGAGAACTTACGATTCGTATTACTAAATCTTGGACACTCGGATGGATATCGGAAGTAGGCAAAGTTTGGACTTCTTTTAACATATCAATTCGCAAGTAGAGACTTGGTAATTCGGGGAAAAGAGATAAAACTTTAAGATTTGAAGATCCCATGTAAAGATTCACAATTTTGAGCTGTTTCATTTTCGGTGTAGGCCATTTAGGAGGTTCGACTAAATATTAGAGAAAAAAATTAGTATATGAATCTAATTCAGGCAATCGAAATATTAATAATTACTTTTAGGTTCATTTGACAAAGACAAAGTTTCAAGATTTGGCATTTTCGCCAATATTCTTGTAAAAGAATCGGTAGGCCTGTGCCCAGGGTACATAGAAAATTTAGAGAGATCTACTCGAGCTTCAAAGTGTTTCAAATTGTCTCCAAATGAGAAGAAAAAACTCCGAATAAAAGATTCCGATGTCGACGAAAGATACTTTAAATTACCACAATGTTGCACTATTTCATCAATGTAAACACCACGAACGCAAACTTGAGCTTCACTCCCGTAACATGGCGTTTGACCCTTCAATCCAATCAACGTGTTCGAAGTTGATAAAACATTGATCACAGCCCAGCACATACACTGCCAGCCATTGTAATGCTTTGTTGTAAAAAACTAGTAAATTTCAGAATGAATTAGCAAACGTTTTCTTACAAGTGTAAATAATCAACTCACCTTAAGATTTGGTAAAAGTTTAGAAACATTTACTCTTCCAAGTAGTGCAATGTCATTGGTGTAGATATGATTGTAAGATGAATATTTCCTAGAGTCAATATAATGAGTCGCTTTTTAAAAGGAAAAAGTGAATAACAGAATAGTATATAGTAATAGAATTAATTTAACCTTTTCAATGGTCGACTCGACATAAAGATAACTCACCATCAGATTCTTCCAAATGTAAATATTGAACTTTTTCCAGTCTTCTTCTAACCAAATTGTTCCATAAACTGCAGACTGTCCATCAAAATGTAAAAAGAATGAGTTTTAATTGAATTTTTCAACAATTAGAAATAGTCTCTTGCCTGTCGTCAAATCTAAAAGTTGTTCAACACAATCAATATAATCAAATATATGCGATAAAAAATCTTCAGGTAAATCATTCAATAGCATTGTCATAAATCACAAATATCCAATTGAGAATCAGGGTAGACTTAAACTTGAAATAAATGAACTTGTATGAAAATAATCAACTCAAGAGTAATTGGAAACAATCAACTGTAGTAGTGATCAAAAGCCAACCATCCAACAATTAAAAGTAACTTTTAAAAGTTTTTAGAAGTAAGCTACAGTCAGACCTCTCATATTTTAACAAAATCCTGCCATCTAATGGATTTTAGTTTCGTTCTCAACCCTTTTTCAATTTAGTGAACTTTTTCGCTCCTAATAAATTTTCATTTAATAGACTTTTTCTGTGAATTAGAAATTAAATTTTGTCTTATTATTGTTAACGGATCAAGTTGATACCAAAATTATTATAGTTCAACAGTTACTTTAGTTATTTTTGTTACTCTTAAAACTGTGACTCTTAAGACGTCGTAATAACTACAACCACCTCTGATCTAAGGTTAGTATCACAATATGAAGCTCCGAGCAAAAGTATTGGGAATCGGTTAATCACAATTATTGCGATGATGGGAGAGAACTAATTTTTTTTCAGTATACCAATCGAATCTGTATTAATTGGCCTACAAGACCAGTATATTTTCAATCATTAAATCAGAATCCTGAAAGCTAAATTTATGATTAATTGTGGCTCAAAGAGCTGTTGAAAAATGACTCAATTTTTTTTACATCTTACTAATTTTCTCTCTTTTTCTTCTCTTGATTTAAAATAGCTTTATTTAAAATTCTAATATTCAAAAAAAGGTGACTATCACCATCAAGCGTCAGAGCCCAAACGACTGAACAAACCAATGAACTCGAATGTTTTTTTCAAATAAACCTCTATTAAGATTCATGATATACTTGTAAAATCAAATATTGTAAACTGAGCGGTTAGTTCGATGCCCCGGTGGCAAAAATGCGTAAGGTATTTGTTGTTGAAAAACAATTGAATAAAATTTTGCATTAGAAGTTAATTTATTTTAAATTTCGCGCATTTTAAACTTATTTCGACCAATCACATTAATCGTCGACTGATCTTCTTTGACTTTTTCATTATTCGTTTGATCACAAGCATCACCCGAATGAAATATAAATTGTAAACATGGTAGAAAATACAAATTGAATTAATCAGGTAAAGAGCATAGAAACTAATTGGATTGTTACTGGAACCATTATTATCCTGAGATTCAACTAGTACATGCAAATTATTACAAATTAGTCAATTTAAATCTTCAAATGACCAAATATCATTAAAATAATAGTCTACCTGATGATGAATTATCTAATTTGTTGATTGATTTACTCTCAACATGCTCCAAAATTAAGGCAAATATTGAATTGATTCTGATTATCAATAATATTATCTCAATTTGAAGATATCTAATCCAACTTTTAGATTTTACACTTTCACATTCTTTGTACTTGTAAACTCCCGAGGCGACTAATTAGCAGTTAGTAGTTAGCAACTAATTGTTTTAAGATAATCATTTAAAATTCAATTTAATCCAATGGATATTAGAAATTAATTCAACGGATTTTATAAGTTTTAACAATCAATTGAAAAAGTGGTCAATTAAAATGTAATTTTATTAACGTTTCCAACTCAAGATGTCAAATTATGAGACTTGGTTCTTATTCAAAATTGTTCAATTGATTAACTTTGATTGACTGGTTGCAAAGACATCGGAAGTAACTCAATTAGTTTTCAATTGTTAGATGTTAATCTGATTCTCGGTGTAATTTTGATAATTGAAGATTATATTTTAATTTCTATTGGATTGTGAACAGTTCATTTTCGCGATAAAAGGAGAAATTAGCTTTTCTCAACAACCTAATTGTTCAAGATTATTAAAAGCTCTTTCAATTACCAAGGTCATTTTATCGTTAACTGGACAATCGTCTGGTGATCGAATTGGGCAACAAATGTATAGTTTTTCCTGTAATATTATTATGATCCGAGCAAAGTGTTCAGACTTTGTAATTAAATAACTATCAACTTATTGTGCGAACTTAGGCAATTCACAATTTGGCTCATTTTGTCTTCAATTTTTAATCCTGAAAATAAGAAGAAGAAAAATATTACCAAATGATGAGAATAACAATAATCATTAAAAACCTTGATCGTTATCAATAATTATAAAGACAATGATAATTGTCATTGGTTGACCTTGTGATTTTCAGTTTAGAAAAATGATGGACATAAATCTCCTTCACAGCGAAAATACTTCAGAACGAATTGATTATCGGTTTTGAAAGGATTGGCAATATCTTCATTCAGTGAGTATCGAACGATTTTTTTAAAATCATTGTTGACCAAGTAAAAAGCAATTCGACGACCAGTTGACTTGCAACATTTATCGACAGTATTGATGTAATCTGAATCTTTACTATTTTCTAAAGTTTCATCTATCCATAACTCTAGAACGAATAAATTCAAATTGGGTAACATTTCAATTATCTCGATCATCAACTTATTAGTTATGCATCTTTCGTAAAGTCGAATCATAAGATTCTTGCAATAGGGAAACTTGACCAATATATTTTTGAACATTTTTGAGTATTCGATATCAGGATTGCACTTCAAATTATCGAATGCAAAGTCCTGCAGATGAATCGCCAATTAGAAATAAAATAGAGTAAAACGTATGTAGAGTACTTACGATTTCTAATACCAAATCTTGGACATTCGGGTGAATTTTGGAAGTAGGAAAAGTTTCGTTTTCTTTTGGATACGCAATATTCAGGTAGAGACTCGGTAGTTCAGGGAAAAGAGATGAAACTTGAGGACTTGAATATTCAATGAAAATATTTTCAATGCTAAGTTGTTTCAAATTCATTTTCGGTGCAAGCCATTTAGGAGGTTCGACTAAATATTAGAGTAAAAAATTAGTATATGAATCTAATTCAGACAATCGAAATATTAATAATTACTTTTAGGTTCATCTAACAAAGCCAAAGTTTCAAGATTTGGCATTTTCGCCAATATTCTTGCAAAAGAATCAGAAGCTCCAGGGTACAAAGAAAATTTAGAGAGATCTACCGAAGCTTCAAAGTGTTTCAAATTGTCTCCAAATGAGAAGAAAAAACTCCGAATAAAAGATTCCGATGTCGACGAAAGATACTCAACGAGATCAAAGATAACATATCAATTCGCAAGTAGAGACTTGGTAATTTGGGGAAAAGAGATAAAACTTTAAGATTTGAAGATCCCATGTAAAGATTCACAATTTTGAGCTGTTTCATTTTCGGTGTAGGCCATTTAGGAGGTTCGACTAAATATTAGAGAAAAAAAATTAGTATATGAATCTAATTCAGGCAATCGAAATATTAATAATTACTTTTAGGTTCATTTGACAAAGACAAAGTTTCAAGATTTGGCATTTTCGCCAATATTAATGCAAAAGAATAGTAAGACCTGTACCCAGGGAACAAAGAAAATTTAGAGAGATCTACTCGAGCTTCAAAGTGTTTCAAATTGTCTCCAAATGAGAAGAAAAAACTCCGAATAAAAGATTCCGATCCTGACGATAAATACTCTAAATTACCACAATGTTGCACTATTTCATCAATGTGAACACCGCGAGTGCAAGTGCGGGCACCAATTCCGTAACATGGAGATCGATCTTTTAATCCGATCAACGTGTTCGAAGTCGATAAAACATTGATCGTTGCCTTGCACATACAATGGTGGGCATCGTAATAATTTGTAGTAAAAAACTAGTAAATTTCAGAATGAATTAGCAAACATCTCCTTAAAAACAATCAACTCACCTTAAGATTTGGTAACAGTTTAGAAACATTCACCTTCTCAAGTAAGCTCGGGTCATTCGTGTAGATATGGTTGTAAGATGAATCACGAAATTGAAAATACCGAGATTCTGTTAAAAATAAAGAAAAAGAAACTCGATTTAACCGTTCCAATAATCGACATGAAGATAACTCACCATCAGATTCTTCCAAATGTAAATATTGAACTTTTTTCAGTCTTCTTTTAACCAAATTGTTCCATGAACTACAAACTGTCCATCAAAATGTGAAAAGAATAATGAGTTTCAATTGAATTTTTTCAGTAAAAACAATTAGAAGGAATAAAAATATTCTCTTACCTGTCGACAAATCTAAAAGTTGTTTAACACAATGAATACAATCAAATATATAAGCTGAACAATCGTAAGGTAAATCATTAAATTCCATTGTCACAAGTATCTGATTGAGAATAGGGTTGACAAAAACGTCAAGTGAATTCACCTTGTAATTTTTAATCGAATTGGATTCGATTGATTTAGAACCGAAAAATAATGATAAACTCAAGCCCTTAACGGCATCACTTAATTATACAATTCTGGTTTTGTTAATTTTCTTTGTGGTCACATTTGATTCTTACAATTTGAATCACAATTTATATTTACTGTTAACTTTGACAATTAGTATGATTCATTTTAATCCAATGGATAATGAAAATTAATTTAATGGATTTTATAAGTTTTAACAATCAATTGAAAAAGTGGTCAATTAAAATGTAATTTTATTAACGTTTCCAACTCAAGATGTCAAATTATGAGACTTGGTTCTTATTCAAAATTGTTCAATTGATTAACTTTGATTGACTGGTTACAAAGACATTGATAGTAACTGGATTAGTTTTCAATTGTTAGATGTTAATCTGATTCTCAGTGTAATTGTGATTAGTTATAATTGACACTTATATTTTTATGTCCTTTGAATTGTGAACAGTTCATTTTTGTGATAAAAGGAGAAAATCGTCGAAATTCAGATTGATCTTAATGGAAACAAAATCGTCGGTATCAAGAATTTTTTTTTCATCTGATTTACAATATCGCCAATAAAGATCGTCGCTTTTTCTGGCCTTTCAAGGCCAAAGTATTATATGCTGACCAGGAGGTAATGTATTCGAGGAAAGTTAGATTGTCATACTTTGAATGGAGGAAATTCATCATTGGTTGTTCTCAATAACCTAATTGTTCAAGATTATTAAAGCTCTTTCAATTACCGAGGCCATTTCATCGTTAACTGGACAATCATATGGTGATCGAAGTGGTAACAAAAGTAATCAGAAGCAACGAAAACACCACCGGGGGCAAGAAGATGATCCACTTCCTTATAGAATGAGAATGTCAAACCAATGGAGACATTGAGAAGCTGTAACAAGATTAACTGATTTATCTTGTGAGCTATTGAAAAACTATCAACTTCAAATGAGATCAAAAGTCAGCAATTGTAAAGTTAAAACCAATATGATAACAAGATTAATATCTTTCAACAAGAAATTAAGTTAATGTAAATAACTGAAGACCCGAGTGAGTTTAAAGATTTTGTATGAGTCGCGAAATTAAAGTGGACTGAATTAAATCAATTTATAGATGTTTAGGTCATCAAGAAAATCTTATTAAATATAAAAAGAAAAAATTAATACATGGATGAGAAATTATTTGTAATTGTTATTAATTATATGGATATTAATTAATTGAAATTTACAAGTTTTTCTTCACAGAATCTTAGACTAAACGATAATGGTATCGGAACTCATCTCGAATTGAAACCACATGAATACGATAAAGGATTAGTAACATAAGCTGCAGATAATCTGATTGACAGAAAAGTTATTTTCAGTTTGTTTATCTATTGATTATACATAACAATTCAGCTACTTTGTTGGTTTTCTTTTCACGATTACTCAAAGGTAACCGGGGTTCCGTTGAAAAATTTTTTAACGACGAAAATATTTATACAGGGCTATTCAGCTATTTTCGCCGATGTTTTTTGCGATTTTCTCAGCAACTAAGAGTCAAAGAGACTCGAGACTTGAGTGGTATGAGTTTGAGCGATACTCAATTATCATATCAAAAGATCAAGGTCATTCAGGTCATAGGTGAAATAACGCGTTTCAAGGTCATTTTGAGGTTTCTATGAGCTTTGCTTTGCACGTTAAGATAAATTAATTGAATAGAAGATTTTCAACAGTTATTCAATTAAACTGTAATATCTCAAGATCTGTAACAACAACGATCTCTAAACTCATTTTCCAGCGTTAAAAAATGTGGAGTATAACTGAGCCACCTTCAGATGACCTTGAAACGCATTATTTCACCGATGACCTGAATGACCTTGATCTTTTGATATAACAATTGAGTATCGCTCAAACTCATACCACTCAAGTCTCGAGTCTCTTTGACTCTTAGTTGCTGAGAAAATCGCAAAAAACATCGGCGAAAATAGCTGAATAGCCCTGTATATGAATTGATTTTCGGTGTTGAAAGGATTGGCGATATCTTCATTCACTGAATATCGAATACTTTCAGAAAAAGAAACATCAAAGACTGTGTAGAAAGCGACTCAACGACCAATTGACTTGCAATGTTTATCGACAGTATCAAAGTAATCAGGGTCCTTCCATGTGTCATTTATGCGATTAACATGTAGAACAAAAAGATTCAAGTTCGGTAACATTTCAATTATCTTGAACACCGTTTCTTTATCAATGAATCCGAATCGTATAAAAATCATAAGATTCTTACAATTGGAAAAGTTGGCCAATACAATTTTAATCAGCTTACCGCAGTGGGCATCTTCCGCTGCGTCATCTTTCTTTGTAATAAATTGAATTGAATTAGTGGTAAAAAAAGATAGATAAAAGATTAATCTTTTATCTAATTAGATAAAACTCACGAATTCTAATGCCAAATCCTGGACGTTTGGATGAATTCTGGAAGTTGGAAAAGCTTTGGCTTTTCTTTGATATCCAAAACCTAAGTAGAGACTTGGTAGTTCTGGGAAAAGAGATAAAACTTGAAGAGCTGAAGATTCAATGTCAATATATTCAATTTTGAGTTGTTTCAAATTCATTTTCGGTGCAGGCCCTTTAAGAGGTTCGACTAAATACAAGAGAAAAAAATTAGTATGTGAATTTAATTCAAATTATCGATATAAATACTTTCAGGTTCTTCAAACAAAGACAAAGTTTCAAGATTTGGCATTTTCGCCATTAGTCTTTCAAAATAATCAGAACTGCCAGGGTAAAAAGAAAGTCCAGAGATATCTTCCAAAGCTCTAAAGTGTTTCAAACTATCTCCACATCTGGAGAAAAAACTTCGAATAAAATGTTCCGATTCCGACGAAAGATACTCCAAATTACCACAATGTCTTACGACTTCATTGATGTGAACACAGGGACTGCAACTGACCCTACTTCTGTAACATGGAGATTCACCCTTTAATCCGATCAACGTGTTCGTAGTCGATAAAACATTGATCGTTGCCTTGCACATACAGTGTCGACCATCCACATAACTAACAGTTTCAAAATACTGATTAATTTCACAATGGATTAGTAAATTAGTTTTCTCCTCTAAAATAATCGACTCACCTCAAGATTTGGTAAAAGCTTTGAGAAATTTACTTTCTCAACAAATCCAAAGTCGTTGGTGTAGACAGAATGATAAGGTGAATAATTGAATGGTTCATAAATGCAGTAAAACTTATCTTTATGAAAAGTTTCTAAGAACAAAGAAAAAGAAAAGTGATATAACTTTTCAAATGATCGGCATGAAGATAACTCACCAGAAGTTTTTATCAAATGTAATTTTCGGATTTTTTTCAGTCTCCTTTTAACCAAATTGTTCCATTCACTACAAACTACAAACAACAAAAAATTAAGTTCATTTTACCATAGAAAACAATTGGAAAAGAATAAAAATATTCTCTTACCTGACGACAGAATACAAAGTTGTTTAACACAATCAATATAATCAAATATATACGATAAACAATCGTAAGGTAAATCATTTAATTGCATCGTGATGAATTTCCGATTGACGATCAGGATTTAAAAAAACTTAAAAATGATACTTGAAAAGAAATAATTAGCTTTTGATCTATTGGAAAACTACTCAAATGTGAAAATGATGAGAGTCTTAACAATCAAAAAATAAAATACAATGTAATAATTATAACATTATCATAATATGTTATCAGGCCTGCAAAGCGAAATTAAGTTAATTAGCTTCAAACTCATTTTATTGCGTCGGGAATAAGAAATTACTTGCTATTGTTATTAAAATGTTTAATATCAACTAATTGAAATGTTTATTACACAGAGTACATGATGTTTTTTAGCGACATTTAAATGAATTTGATTTACTTTTTGATAGAAGAATCAGCTTGAGTTTTGCATTGGTCGAGAAAATTGAAGAGCAAGGAATTGATTGAAAACTCAATCACTTTAAGACTTGATAGAAATACAGTTGTTCTTGTATTAAAAAATTCATCCTATGAGAACAATTTGAACAGTTTGTTTAATTATTTTTCTCGAATTTCGACTTTTTTCTCTAGAAAATGTACCTTCGGTAAAAGAAGCCTTAGAAAATGGTCGATTACTTATTGGAATAATTGATTCATGGCTACTCTGGAATCTCTGTGGTGTCCATTCGACCGATGTTACTAATGCGAGTCGAACTTTCCTTATGAACATTGAGACACTTGAGTGGGATCATTATCTTTGCGAGTGAGTAGTTTAAATTGTTAATCAAGATTATGTTTACCTTCAATTTCCTGTGATGATTTAATGACAAAATTGGGACAGAGCATATGGCTGGTACATCATGATGTCGAACGTTAATTCTGAGCAAGTTGAACAAACAAAATCAAATTTAACCTTTCATATTTTTTGATTGATTATTTGCATTTTACTAATATCCGTTTTTTTATCTGTTAATTGATACAACAGAAAAGTATTCAAGATTCCGGTATCAATTTCATTTTTTTCGTGATCTTTGTGATTCTAATTGTCATATTTTTCTTGAATTGCTCTAGGTTATTGGTGATCATCATTCAGCTTTAGTGTGTCACCAATGTCTCTCTCCTGGTCAGATTAAAAGTACTTATGGAACTGGATGTTTCATTTTACAAAATTTAAGCTCACTTTTGGAAGGATTCGCAATATCTTCATTGAGCGAGTATCGACTGATTTTTTCCAGATCATTGTTGATTAAGT